CATATGTGTCTTTTTTGTGTGCTCCCTGAACTAATTACTATTTTTATTGCATTATTCTCTGTAAAGGATTTTTTATATTTATTTGCAGCATCTATGCCTTAATGCATTGTCATTTTCACCAAAAATTCCATGGAATGCTAAGAAATATGTGTATTCTTTAGCAGTCCTATTTAGAAGATGCCAGAAGTCTTTTAGGTCTAGCTTCTTCAGAAATTTGTTTAATTCGATATTTTCTCTTTTGTTTATCTTTCTGTTTGATTTATCTAAAACAGAGAGTGGGACACTGAAATCTTTCATTATTGTGTTATTGTCTATGTCATTTTGTGGTTCAGTTAATTTTTCTTTTATGGATTTAGATCTAAAGGCATTTGGAACACATAAATTTAATGTTAATACTGATTTGCTGTGTAAGGTTCCTTTCAACATAATGTAGTTTCCTTGTTTGTTCTTCTAAAAATATTTTAAAAATATTTTGATTATTTGTTTTTGCTTTATATGATAGGTTGATTGCAACTCTTTCCCACCCCCCAGTTCATCTGATGCATTATACATATTGTTTTAGCCTCTCATTTTAATTCTGAGGTTTTTATTTTCTTTTTGATGAGGCAATTGGGGTTAAGTGACTTGCCCAGGGTCACATAGCTATTAACTGTCAAGTATCAGAGGCTGAATTTGAACTCAGGTCCTCCTGACTCTAAGACTGGAGCTTTATCCACTTCATCACCTAGCTGCTCCTGAGCTTTTCTTTAATTTATTTTATTGTAAGCAACAAAAAGTGGGATTTATTTTCTTACCCAATGTCACTATTTTTCATTATATTGGGTTATTTGCTCCATTCACATTTAAAGTTATGAGAGTTAGGTTTGTATTTTTTTTCATTTGTTTCTAATTGTTTTTTTTTTTTGCAAAATGGAAAGTATAGCCCTTTTCTTCTATGTTTCTGTAGTTATTTTAGCTTACTCTATTTTAAGGCAATCCTATTCCCAACAGCTCCCTTCTCCTCATGCTCAAAGCTCTTTTTTTTTTGTTATTGATTACCCCTTTCCTCAATTTTTGAATTTTGTTTAACATTCAAGTGTTTTCCCTTGCTTTTATCTAATTATTTCATTCTTTCTCCCTTTCGTCCTTTCAGTAAAGTAGTCACATAAAATCTTCCTTCTTCTCCTCCCCTTCCATTTACTTTGTTAACAAGTTTAAACTTTTAAATTGTTTGGTGTCTTTTTCTCGGAAGAACTTCATTCCCTTCGTTGTCTATCTTCTCTTTCTGCCTATTTTAGACTTCCACTCTTTCATTCATGGCTCTTATTTTTTTAGTTCTTTTTTAGTCTTTATCCCTCATGGCATTAAAACTTCTAAGGCATCTATTTTGAGTTCCTTCCTCTAAACAGTTTCTATATTATTGAACTAGAGACTTTGCCCTGGGACCTTTTCTCTCTCTTTTCTGTTGTACCTCACTTCTTATAAATATTAACCCCGGTGGGTGATAGAAAGGACATTTCCCCTTGATACACATTTTACCATCTGTGATTGTGCAATTCATTATTAACCTTTACAATCCTCATGGTCATTTCTCTTCATTTGTCTTGAACTGTCCTCTTCCAGGTGTCAGTTGCCTCTAAGAACTCTGATTTCCCTTACCCTGAGGCAAGATGAATGGTCCTCTGAACACCAAATCCATGCAAATTGTGTTCGTGATAAAGTCCCCATTTCTCTTTATAGAAAATTTCTCCCATAGAAGCATTCATCAGTGCTAACCCTTGCCACCACTAAAACAGGATTTCTCCTTCACCTCCTTTTCAATCTCTCCCTTTGCCCATTCTCCTGTAGGCTCTAACAATAAATACTAGTTAACAATAGTAGCTAACATTTATATAGTATTTACTATGTGCCAGGCATTATGCTAAGTGCTTCATACTTATCTCATTTGGTCTTCATGACAACTCTAGAGGTAGATGCTACTGTGATTCCCACTTTAGAGATAAGGCAACTGAGCAAACAGAGGTTAAATGACTTATACAGGGTCACACAATTAGCAAATGTCTGAATATGAATTTGATTTCAGGTCTTTCTGACTCCAAGCCTGATGCTGGGCTGTGTAGCTGCTGTGTTCAGGAGAAGCTAATAGTTATTCTCCACTTTTAATTTGTTGCTCTGCCTGGGATAAGTTCACCGCTTCCAATCACATTAATATACTGCCAACGAAAGCCTTAATTGAAACCTCCTCACTCAGCTTTCTCTTTCCTTTAATTGGAGAACTGGGGGTTGGAGGATCAAAGTCCACTCAATGCCTTTCTTTATAGAGGGCAGAATCCCAGCTCACTCCACTCTGCAGCTGCAAAGTTTCAACTCTGCAGAGCAAGATATCCCCCTCTCTTTCCTATTTCCTTTTGTGTGTTATCTTCTCCCATTAGACTGTAAGGTCCTTGAGAACAAGGTCTATCTTTCTTTTTATTAATCATATCCCTAGCACTTAGAATGGTGCCTGACACTTCATAGTGTTGGTGCTTAATAAGTGTTCCATGGATTGGATTCCTTTCATTGGTAGCCTTTGACTTTATTAGGGTCCATCGCATATTCTATTCCATCTTCTCCCTCCCTTCCTCCCTTTTATGCATTCTCTGATTCTGCATGAGTTGATGAAAATGATGTTTTGGGATTGTTCCTTCCACAATCATTTCTATCTGACTTCTGCTTTCACCCTTGTTTCCTTGTGAACATGAAGAAAGAAATCTCTTCATAATTTCTCTTATTTTGTTGTTATTGTTGTCATCCTCGGTTGCCGTATTTGTTAACCTTTCTTATATATCTGTTGTGTGAGGTATTTGAAATTGAATAATGACTTCAGGTCTGGTTTTAGGAATGTTTCACATACCTCCTTTTATTGAATATCCATCTTTTTTCGTTAATAGTTGAACTTGAGTTGCATCTTGAGTTCCTTTGCTTTTCAGAAAACATTGCCCTATTCCCTACTGTGGTTTCTGGTGAGGCAAAGGATGTGTTGTCTGAAATTCTTTTCCTTTATCTTTGAAAGTCTTCCTCCTGGTTACTTTCAGGACTTGTTGCTTGTCAGTGGAATTGTTAAATTTGATCACTACGCATCTTGGAGTTTGCAGCATAGTGGTTTTTGTTTCACCCAAAGATGACCTGTGGATTCTCTTAATTGGTTCTTGTTTTATACATTCAGACATTCTGGGAAGTTTTCTGTATTATTTCTTGCATTGTGATGTTCAGGTTTTTTAACTTGCCATTTTCTTCTGGAGACCTCTAATTCTGAAGTTGCCTCTCTGCATCCTATCTTTAAGATCCATATGTTTCTCCTGTAACGTGATCATGTTTTATTTCTGTGTCTTTGCTTTGCTGCTTATCTTCTTCCTGATTATCCTTTACTTCAGAGCATTGCATTCTCGCATCTCTCTGTCGGTCACCCCTTCTCCTTGGTTTTCAGCTCTTGGGGTGCTGCTCTGCGGCCCCAGTCTGTGAAAGCTTTTGTCTTTGCTGTTCTCCAGAAACACGGCAGGGGGGAGAGTCAAGAGAGAGTCGTAGTACTGTAATCCTATGGGTTGGCTAGTGCAACTCTTCTGCTGGAGCACAGTGACACGTGGATGCTGAGTGAGCGCATAGGGGCTATTGATGACCTTTCTTTGTTACTACGTTATGGAATTGTTACCTATTTGGATGCTTGGAGTTGTAGGCCATATTATTGTTGGTTAGTCATTTCAGTCACGTCTGACTCTCTGTGAGCCCAGTTGGGGTTTTCCTGGCAAAGATAATGGAGTGGTTTGCTATTTCCTTGTCTAGCTAATTTTACAGATGAGGAAACTGAGGCAAATTGGGTTAAGTGGCTTGCCCAGGGTCACACAACTCGTAACTGTCTGAGGCCAGATTTGAACTCAGAAAGATGAGTTTTCCTGACTTCAGGCTCAGTACTCTATCCACTGGACCCCCTAGCTGTACTGTTCTAGATCATAGAGTCAGTTAAAATTGTTTTACCTCTGCTATAAAATTAATATTATAGAATATTTGAGAGGTTGAAAGGTTAAAAGTCAATGTTTAATCCTCCATAATGCATTATTCTTATCGACCTAACATAATTATTCTCCACTCATCAGAAATCACAAGATGAAATGCATGTTTTCTAAAGTGCAAAAGAGCTCAGGATGCATCCCAAGGTGACCTACCCTGTGAAACTGAACTAAGCCATTAACGAAAAGAGATATATGTTCAGTAAAAAGAGCATTGGAAACATTGGTGGCTGTCAATTGTTTTATTTTGGTTTGTTTTGTTTTTGAAACCAGGTCTCCATATTTGCCCAGACTGCAAGTGTAATGGACACTCACAGGCCCCAAACCAACACTGAACACCACGAGGTTTAACCTGCTGTTTTTCCAGCTTGCATCATTAGGCAGCCTAGGGGCCCTTGGCTCCAAGGAGCTTACCATATTGGTAAAGCTTAGAAGTTGTGTTTGTCCAGTCTCTACTCTTCAACTACAACTTGGTTTCTTCTCTTACCCAACATACCAAATGATGTCCCCTTTGCCCCCTATTTCACTGAAGCATCCTCAGCTTTATGCAACACTATGGGGTAACAGAAAAGAAAAATGGATATGGAGGCAAATTACCTGGGTAAAAGTCCAGCTTTTGGTGCTTACTCCCTGGGTGAGTCTCTTAATCTCTCTGAGCTTCAGCTTCCTCAGATGAGATGTTTTCTAAAGTCCCTTCAAGCTCTAAATCTATGATTCTGTGATTCTGTGATCCTTGACAACTTTAAAAACCATGGCCTGCTTTCTGGTCCAAGTCCTTCCTCATGGCGATAAGATCCACAGTACAATGAATCATGGTGTTATTGTGAAATGCAGATAAAATGCTCTGTAAACTGCAAAGCACTGTGTAAATGCTTGTAGTAGTGGTAGTAGTAGTAGTAGTAATAACAATAGTAATAAACATATTAAAAATTTTAAAGCACATCGTCAGAGATCCTTTGTCATCTTTTGCACAAGCAGATATTTAGAGTTGCTTGGAAAGGTCTGCCAAAGAGAAGAAAGGAATATCCTAAGACATACGCGAGACAACCGCAAGCTGCTGGTCCGTGACCGTCTCAGACTGGTTCTGGATAACGATGAGGACTTCTTTGAGCTCTCCCCACTGGCTGGCTATGATTTACCCTATGGCACAATCGCAAATGCTGGCTGTCTCACTGGTGAGTTGAATAAGCTGACTCCCACTTGACTCTATTGGGAAATCTAAGCTCTTGCTTTGCCATCTTACCTGAGCAGGGTTCAAGTAGCAACACAACACATATTCCACGCACCTCCAGGTTGAAAATAGGGAAGCTGCTGTATATTCCCCATTTCCTTGGCGGTACTCTCATCACTAGTGGTATACTTGGCTTCTTGGGAAGGATCTATTTTTTTTTTATTGACTAAATTATTTGAGACCTTGACCAGCAGTAGGGAATAAGCTAGGTTGGTCTCATCTAATGTACCCACTATAACTCAACCAATCCTCCTAGAAAAGCTGCTCTCTTTCCCTCCATGGGCTTCCATGTAGGGCCACACTTTTGTGCTCTCAATTGTCTTCTTATATAGCAGAGGGAGAAGCTATTGATTCTGTCAAAAAAGGTCGGCAGGAGGCAGCCAGCCCCAATCTCTGAAGCCCAATCAGTATAGCATCAGTAGATATGCTCACATTCTATGGGGATACACTCTTAAGATTCTTCCAAACCAAAGTCCATACCCTATAACCTCATCCCATTGATTGGGAAACTCATCAGATTACTCCTTGGACTGTCGGCCTTGTGACAAGGTCTACTGCTAACCAACTTGGGAAGAGAAGAAGCTATAGAGGGAGTGAAGATGGAGGGCAGAGTTTTCTGGTTCAGAAGCACTTTTAAATATCTCTCTGGAAAGGGATGCAAGAGAAGAAGGTAGAGAGAGAGTTGGAGAGAGAGCAAGGTCTGCAGCAGGAGCAGCAGCTCTAGATGGAGCACTCTGCCAGGAGACAGACTCTAAGTCTTGTAGTAGCTGGAGCCTTTGCCTTTCCCCATCCCACTGCTTATCTCCATCACAGAGTGTCTGAATTAAGGCAACTTGGAGAAACAGTCCACTCTGATTCTCTTTCTGTTTTATGGCCACATGCAACTGATGGGATGATCCATTGCTAAGAGTATCTCAGCTACTTAAATGTTTGTGTACTGGGTAATCTGCAGTTTTGACAAAGGCTTACTACATAAAAAAACAAGAGAACTTTAATTGTGTCCTCAGTAGATGTTTTTTCTATAGAGAGTTTGGGGGGAGGGGAAAATGATCACACTAAATTGAAATGATGGAGAAAATGCCTTCCCAGCTTGTTCATCAGTAGATTTCTAGGGTGCAGAGTATTTTACAAATTTTGTTTATAATCTGTATTTTTAAGTTTTCTAGCTTTGTAGAGAAAGGAAACCATGTAGGATCAGGACCTTTGCCCTAGACCCAAATACTTACGAACCAATGTTATTATTATTAAGCAGACAGATGACTTTTTACCAGGGTCCTTTGGGCTTTTCTTTATCTTCCAAGGTAAGAGAGGGCAAAGGGGAACAAGGACTTTAGGAGAAGGCCACAACCTGAGCAGGTCCCCAGTGGGTGGAAATAGGCATTATCTTTCCTATCGTCTCACCTCAAGGTGAGGGGTGGGGGGCAAAAGGTACTCTTCCCCCAAACTGCTCTTCACAGTGATATCTGCTAGGCATTGTATATGTATAGTGCATATATGTGTATATGTGTGTGTGCATATGTGCATATATGTGTATACATGTTTATATGTCTATGCAATGTATATGTAGCTATATAGGTATATATACATGTTTATAAAATGTGTAAATATACGCACATATAAATACATGCACATGCATATGGGATGTCATGTAATATTTGAATTAAATGATATCATGACATATACATTGTGACATTATACATAATCATATTCTATAGGATACTAAAGGATCCTGAAGATGCAGCCATACACATATATTTTCAAAATCATCCAATATATTTATAACTTGAGGATACTAAAAAATCAGTTTTCAACATATCTAAAAGAGAGTGAGACACTAAAGGCTTGGAAAAGATTATGGGTTTTACTACTACTCCTCCCAAAAAAATTGAGAAAATATCAATAACTATAGACCCATAGACCCATATGCCTACCTTCCCATCTCTATATTATAAAATCTTTAGAACAATCTGTGCATGTGTTCAGCATATCCCTGATAAAAATAAGAAAAGAGATTTCTGGCAATCACCAAAGGCCTCCTACAGAAGAACTCTTCATTACAATTTCACAACTGCCTGGAAGAGGTTTCTCATTTGTTGACCATAAAAAAAGGCATTTGATCTGATCAAGCCATATACTGCTTTGAAGGCTTTCCTCCAAACATGTGTCTTAAAGGATTTTTGGAGAGATACAACCACAGAGAAAAATTGTTTCTCTAAATAGAAATATCAAGTGAAACATGAAACAGGAAGACAGAAGGCATTTGCCAATGCTGTGAAAGAAGTCCAGCACAGGGTCCAAAAGGAGGAGGAATTCCTTAAAATGTGTGGGGTGTATGGGGTATATGTGGTGCTCCGGAGGACTAGCAGCTCTGGAGAGAGGGCTGCCAAGCCCTCTTCAGGGTTGCTCAAGCACTTTTGGTATCTGCCTGCCACCCAGCTCTCACCTGTGGCTCCAAGAAGCTGTGGCATGTGCAGTGGCCACACCCTGATAAAATCATCTCAGCAGACAGGCTAAACCAAGTTGAAGGTAATTGAGGAGCCTCAAATTCATTGGTGAGTTAGGCAGATGTCTACTCCAAACATGTGAAGACCTACCCCAGTGGAATGGGTGGATGAGAATAGTGTGTTCCAATGGCTATGCAGGCGGCTGAAGCCGGTGCTGTGTAGGCCTTAGAGCTTTGTCAGACATTGACAACACCAAGGTTATCCACTGCATCCCTGGGCCATTGCCAGTCATCATAGCTTTGTCTTGCCGCTGGACTTTGAGGACTCAGGAGGAGAGAATGAGGCTGATGGCTTTGTGCATCTCTGCTTCATTTAAATCCAATTCATACACAAGTGAAGACATTCTGTGATGCCATTGGTCCTCTTCCAAAACGAAGGATGAGGGGACAGCTAGGTGGCGCAGTGGATAGAGCACCAACCTTGGATTCAGGAAGACCTAAGTTCAAATCTGGCCTCAGGCACATAACACTTGCTATTCACACAGAACCTGGGCAAGTCATTTAACCTCATTGCCTAGCCCAAAACAAAACAAAACAAAACAAAACAAAAAAACAAACAAGCAAACAAAGAAAAACCCAAAACCAAAGCAAAAATGAAGGATGAACAACAATTACAGATAATGTATACACATATTTGGCTACATATATACACATATATGTGTATATACATAGGATGCTGAGGGATCAAGTTACCAAATATCTGAAAGAGGGCAGAATATGTGTGTGTGTGTTTATGTGTATAGACACAGACATACAGATATAGAAATTTAGTTATAGCGGTAGATCTTCCCTCCAGCACAAATCTCCTCTCTGTGTACTTGTTCTAGAGTAGGTGGTTTTTCCATCTTTGTTTATTCTCTTACTTTTTGCACATCCTCGTGTTGCATGCTATGATAGTAGAGTCCAAACATGGTGGCTTCATTTTCATTAATAGAGAGGATAATTTATTTTAATAGTATCGACAGATCCTTCTCATTTTTATAGTTTTCATTTTCTTCCTGGTTTCATATTTCAATGCTCTAAGGATATTATTAATTTGATCTAGCGTGTTTATAGTTTACCTGATGGTGAATTGCCCCTGTGATTATTGGTATTGATACAATCAGGTCAAAGTGAGCAATTTAAAAAAAAATTATTACTGTCTTTTTTTGCTAATATTTTATTTTATTTTGCTAATATTTATTTTATTTAATATTTTGCTTCACTATTCTTTAATAATATTGGTCTATCGTCATCTTTCTCTGCTTTATCTCACCATTTTGGTATAAGGACCATGCTTGTCTCACAGGAATTCGAAATGATGCCTTCTTTGTCCATCATCTTGTGTAAGACTTTGCAGATCAGCTTATGTTTAAACTAGCATCATCTTTGTGTTCTAAATGTCTCAGTTTGGCAAGGACAGAATGTGTTTGCTGGCAAAGGGACTCTTGAGGCTCTTTTGACCTATTCACTTTTTTTTTATTGTTTTAAACTGGAGAAACTTCCGTAGGAAATGGTGATAGTCCATGATCATGCCTGTCTTTTGACATCAGAAGCTTGTTTAATAGTTGGGATTTGTATGCCACATCTTCTATTTGTCATAATTTCTTCTAATTTGGTATTGATTTTCATCTTTGCTTTAAGAAATGGGGAGTCTGATTATAAGAGAGATCACTTAGAAGTGATTCTCACATTGATAACCAGTCACATCCTGCTTATTAAGATGCAGTCAATGTCTTTGTGTGAGGATGATTCTGTTTTATGCGCACCACACCTAGTGCTATCTCTTTTAGAAAGTACACCTCATTTTTGAGCAATTAGACTTTTAAAAAGTCTACAAGCTTCTGATGGCCATGTTCTTAACACTAAGATATATTTTCTAACATTTTTCATTGTCCTTACCTATTTCTTCCTATCCTTTCTTTGAAACCATTGAGGATTTGAAGGAGGATCTTAATGAGGTCTACCTAGAGTTTCTCCACTCCTTCACCCTATACCACAGATATTGACAAACAAGCATATTTAAAGTGCATTGCAAGTCTTGAAGAGCTATAGAAATACTAGCTATTATTATCATCTTTGAAGTGGCCTTTTTACAACAACTTATCAAGAATACTGCTATATGAGGTTGCAAGGCATTCTATGAATTTATGTTTCCTCTTATCTTTAGCAGAGAACCAAGGGTTATTTTGCATTTTTCTTTTGTTTCATGGGTTCCCATGACTAAAGAATCCATCAAGTGGCCAGACTACTGGTGATGAGTTTCTCCACATCTTGTCAGTCAATAAGCATTTATTAAGCATCTCCTGTGAACTGGGTCCTGTGCAAGGCACTAGAGATTCAAAGAAAAGGCAAAAACATGCATGATCTCTGTCCTCAATGAACTCCCAGTCTAATGAGAGATATAACACGCCAACAACTACGTACAAACAAGATATAGACAGGAGGAATTGGCGTTTGTCTCAGGGAGAAGATACTAAGATTCTGAATGATTGGGAAAGGCTCCTGGCAGAAGGTGGGACTTGAGCTGAGATTGGAAGGAAGCCAGAAAGCAGAGATAAGGACAGAAAAAGTTCAGGAATAGGGGGCAACCAGGGAAATTCATGGAATTGAAGTTGAGAGATGAAATAGGTACAGCAAGTAAGTCAGTGTCACTGGCTTGCTGAGTATGGGGAGGGGAGTAAGATGTAAGAAGACTGGAAATGCAGAAAGGGCCAGGTTATTTAAAGCCAGACAATTTCATATTTGGTCTTGGAGTTATCAGGGAGCCTCTGGAGTTTACGGAATGGAGGGGAACTGATAAGCTTTAGGAGGATCAATTTGGCAGTTGAATGAAGGGTAAACAGGAACAGGGAGAGACTTGAGGCAAGAAAGCCATCATCAGGGTGTTACAATACTCCAAGAGGGAGGTGATGAAGGTCTGTACCAGGTTGGTGGCAGTGTCAGAGGAGAGAAGGGGGTGTGGATGAGAGATTATGAAGGTAGAAATGATAGAGAAATTATGGAACTTGACAACCGACTGAATTGGGGAGATGAGAGAGTGATGAGTTGAGGTTGACACCTAGGGATTGGGAGGATGGTGTTGGCTTTGATGTAATAGAGAAAGTAGAGTATAGGGTGTGGTTTTGAGGGGAAAGGTGAGCTCAGTTTTGAATATGTTGAAATTAAGATGGCTACTAGGTAGCTAGAGATGTAAGACTGGAGGTCAGCAGAGAAGATAGGGTAGGAGTAGTAAACATGAGTATCATCAACATAGTCCATTAGCATTTATTAAGTGCCTATTGTATTCTAAGCCCTATGTAGAGATGATGGGAATGCAGAGATGATGAATCCACAATACCTGATGAAATTATTAAATTAAAGAACATATGGGAAGGAGATGAGGTCCCAGGAGAAGAGACTGGGAGGGACAGGACTGACCTGGATGAAGATAAAGCCAAGGAAACTGAAGAGTGCTCTGCAGGACAAGAGGAGGAGAATCAGGAGAGGGTAGGATTACTTAAAACCTAGAGAGAAGAGAGTTTCAGGAAGAGGTTGAGTTCTAGGGCCAAAGGCTGCAGAGAGGTCAAGAAGGACTTGGGAGAGCAAACACAAATAAGAAATCTTTGCTGCCCTCAAAGTGTTTCCATTCTCTTGGAGGACCTTACACCATAGCGTGGGAAATGGCATTAACTCCAATGAAATAGTTAAACAATGGCACCTTTTAAATTGAATGATGTCTGGGTTTAGGCATTAATTTCTAAGCTAGAAGATTTTCCTTGTTTAAAACGCCAAATGTACATTATCCTATAGGAATTGGGAAAATATGTGGAGTTTGGTGCATGTTACTTGCCAATGATGCCACAGTGAAGGGAGGAACCTTATACCCTATCACCGTGAAGAAACAACTCCGTGCTCAACATATTGCAATTATGAACCGTTTGCCAACTGTGTATTTGGTGGATAGCGGAGGAGCATTCCTGCCTCTACAGGTACTGCTTAGAATGGTTTCCCAGAGCATTAAATCAATGAGCACTTATTGAGCACCTATTATATGCCCCCTTAGTGCTGAGGAAACAATGTCCAAAATGAAACAGCCTCGGTCTCCAAAGAGCATATATTCCATTGGGGAAACAATATGTACATATGTCAGTATGCACTACATAGATACAAAATAAACAGGAGATAATGGGGAGAGAGGTGCAAACAGGTGGGGGAATCAGCAAAGGCATTGTGGAAGAGGTAGTGTTTCAGCTGATCACTCAAGGGAGTACGGGAAGAAGTCCATGAGATGGAGATGAGTGGTGAGTGTGTTCCAAGAATAGGGTATACAGATTATCGGGTGTAATTAGATAAATGTCATAATCTTTATACTCTTCTTTCTTTCTACATGAGGTATTGAGGGCATCAGCAGAGGGAAGTTTCTGTTTGTATTAAAAATCCATCCAAATTTTAGTCATTATGAATCAAAGGCTACAGAACCAGCTGCCCTATGACCACAAGAAAAGAAAAGCTTAACATAAATAAGATCTCACTCAGGAGCCCCCAGGACCATTTGCAGCAATCTGTTTGCCATGGCAGTTTATCACAAGAAATAAACAAGAAGAGCAAAAGAACAGTAGGAACCATCATTATCAAGTAAAAGCGGCACAGTGAATTTTGCAGTGACCTGCAAAGAGCCCCTGTAGGCACAGAACCTGCTGTATTTGTACTTCTGCTGGTGGCAAATGAGAAGCTACGTATGCACAAAGCTCGGGCTAGCCTCCCTGTCAGAGGAGAAGATGGCCGACACAACACCTTGCTGTTCTCCAGCTTCTTGCTGAAAATGAAGTATTTTCAGACAGAATGGAATAGGTGCTTCTAAGAGAAACGTGGAAAAGAAGAGGCAGAGATAGATAAGATAGATAAAAAGATGATAGATGAGCAACAAACAGATGGACAGACAGACACATAAATGATAGATGACATAGATGAATTTTTAAAGCAAACAGAAGCTTTGACCCATTAGTAGATACCTGCCAACTGAACCATAACTAGGGTGAGGTGAGCGACCTTTTCCCAAAGTGTTGAAATGTAAAGGATGCCAACAACTTTTGCACTTTTTCGGTAGCAAGGACACCGCCAATCTGAGCACCATTTTAGTAAAAACAATCAACTAAAATAGAAACTAACTGAGAGGTAGAATTACATAGTGGGTAATAGGCTGGCTGGTCTCAATCAAGAGGATCGGGGCTTCTCACCTGTCTCTGACGTAAACTGGCTGTGTGATCATGGGCTGAAAAGTCATTTAACCTCTCAGTATCCCCATGCAGTTCTCTAAGACTGTAAGTAACAAATGGGTCACTAATATGAATTGATGGAGGGAGTTTCTATAACGGAAGTTCACTGGAAGAAAAGCAACTAGATGCTAGCTTTCTTCCCCAATGGATCACAGGACAAGGCTTCTACCCCAACTGTGGCACGTCCTTTCTTTGGGATCTCTGTTCCTTCCCCCCAACAAATTTATATTTTAAAAGTTAATTTAAGCTTCCTTTTCATGTTACTGGCTGCAATTGTACTCTGTGAAGCTTACACAGGGTATAAAACATTCTGGTTACAGCTCAGCCTACTCATTCTCAAATGTATATAGAAGCAACTTTCATCTTTGATACTAGAGAACAATAAAATTATTTAGCCACAGTGTTTTTAATTCATTTAACTAGGCTCTTTTGGAGGACTGTTCATTAAAATAGCTCCCATTTTTAAAACCTTTTTGTTACCAAATGGCTGTTTTAAAGGAAATCCAATCCAAAATTTAAGCATCTACTCTGTTCTAAAGGGAGTTAGGAATTGGATTTGTAATTAATTGATATTGAGGACTCCCTAGTGTGGAAACTTCCTCTACCGATTCTGCAATTCATCATCTCAAGAATAGCCTGGGAAACAGAGATGTTAAATGATTTGACCAGCCATAGAACCTGTATATTTTAGAGACTGGACAGCAACTCAATCTTCCTGGTCCAAGGCCAGCCCACTATCTACTTTGCCATGCTGCATTTCACGCTTAAAACTGAACCAGACCCTGCTCTCTAAGCTCCTATATTCAGATTTGGGAACAACATCTCTACTGTCCATATGGCTATCTCCTTATTATATAGGTGATCACAAAGATTTACTGGATTCTGTTTTAATACAATGGTAATTTATTTTAATCCACTGGCAATTCATTGATATCTAGTAGGGGCCATATTTGAAAATTTATCGTGTCTCCCTCTAATGAGGAACTTTCTTGATATTGGTATGTTTGTTTTTCTAGGCAGAGATTTTCCCAGATCAGTGCCATGGTGGAAGGGTTTTCTACAATATAGTGCTCATGTCCTCTATGAAGATTCCTCAGGTAACTTGCCAGTGCAGTGAAGACGTAGAAGGCCTCCTCCCTTCCTATACCTCCCTGTTTTCTAGCTCTCTTTTAGGTGTTGTCTTCTCTCTTAGAATGCAAGCTCCTTGTGGGCAGGCACTGTCTTGCTTGTACAGTGCTTGGAACATAGTAGGCATTTAATAAATGCTTTGTCTATCTGTCTATTTGAAAAATGTTTCAGACTTTTATATATTGTGATATATGCATTTTCAAGATGGCTTTTCCAAAGTACTGGACAAACTGTTGATATCATTTAGGTTTTATAAAGACTTCCTTTGTCTAGAACACCTTAGAATCCAATGATATCTCTAACTTGGTGATTGGATCAGAAAACTGTATATTAAAGGCTGTGAAGATGGCTCCTTGGGAGAGGGGTTAATAGTGGTCTTAACAGTTGAAAATCCGTGTTCCTATGTGAGTCTCCTGTTCTCCCTAGGTGGCAGTGGTGTGTGGCTCTTGCATTGCCGGGGCTGCCTATTATCCTAGTTTAGCAGATGAATCTATAATCATAGACAACATTGGCTCCCTATTTCTTGCTGGACCTCCTCTGGTAAAAGCTGCTACAGGAGAAGACATTTCTGTTGAAGAACTAGGAGGAGCCACTGTGCATTCTCGGTAGGGACAAAAGATTGTTCTCTCAGCCTGAAGTTTAAAGCCCTTCACAGATAATGGCTCCCACCTAATTTTCCCAGTCTTATTTGGTAATACTCCCCTTTCTTCCCTTCATATAACTAAGGGGCGTAGCAGATAGGGTGCTGGATTTGGAGTCACAAAGACCCAAATTCAAATCCTGCCTCAGACATTTACCACCTATGTGACCTCAGAAAAATCACCTCACCTGCCTGGGCCTCAGTTTCCTCATCTGCAGGAAGAAGAGGTTGGAGATGGCCTCTGAGGTCCCTTCTGGCTTGATCTTATGATCTTCTACAAGGTCTTTCCTGACCCTTTGGCTGTAAATAATCTCTGACTCTTAATATTACTTTGTGCTTATGTGGCATCTACTGATCCATTTACATGCTTCACTCTCCCAGAAGAATGTAAATTCCTTTAGGGCAAGGAGCATTTCATCATTTTGTTTGTACTCCCAAGTACCTAGTAAAGTAGCTTGTATATAGTAGGCATGCCAAAGGCTGGATGGATAAGTACATAACATTAAGATTTAGAATAAAGGTCCATTGAGTGGAAAGACTCTCATGGATCATTCACGGGAGGTCATGCCCTGCTATCTGTATGTCCTTGGGCAAGTATTTTCACCTTCTTGGGCCTCAGTTTCTTCATATGAAAAATGAGAGAGCTAGATGGCCCTGGAGGTCCCTTCTAAGCTCTAGATCAAGGCCCCTGGAGACCACAAATGAGTTACAGCCTGAGATATTTGAATGAGACCTTACATGGTTGAGATCACAGAGCCATGAAAATACTAAAGTATAATTTATGGCTTGGGTTTTGTCAATTACTTTTTTTGATGTGTTGAAATGTGATTTTTTTTTTATCCTTCCCTAACCTCTTTTCCTCCTTAGACTCAGTGGCGGTGTTGATTATCTTACATCTACAGAGGAAGAAGCCTATGAATGTGTTCGTAATGTTGTGATGACCTTCAATTGTGGACAGTGCCCTGAAGACTCTGTGGAGTATGATGAGCCCTTATACAGCCCAGAAGAGCTGAAACACCTGGCCCCAAAGAATTATGAATGTAGTCTAGATGTGAAACTGGTAAGTCAAGGAAGGGTTCCACTTGAAAAAGGGATTGGGATCAATCCCTTTAATTAAGAGTGGTTCCATTTTAAAAGGACAAGTACCTTATGGATCTAATGAGAAAATATGTCATGCATGTGCCAAATGTTCAGGTTAATGATGATGAAAAAGATAGTGGGAAGAATGCTGAACCTGTGTCCGAATCCCATCTTTGCTTCTTATTAACTTCTGTGGCAGTTTGGTGGTTGCAACCTGACTCATGCAGGGAATTCTCAAAATAACAAGATCTCAGATCTTTTTGAGTATTCTGAGTATTAAAACACCATTGAGGGGCAGCTAGGTAGCGCAGTGGATAGAGCTCTGGCCTTGGAGTCAGGAGGACGTGAGTTCAAATCCAGTCTCAAACACATGACACTTACTAGCTGTGTGACCCTGGGCAAGGCACTTAACCCCAATTGCCTCACCAAAAAGCAAAACAAAAAAACCAAAAAAACCCCCAAAACCCACATCATTGGATGCAGTGTGTATCAGCAGAGCAGATTCCCATATTGGTGAGATTACAGAATCCAAAAATGTTAAAATGCCAAGAAGCTTCTTGCTTCAAATGCCAAATTCACTTGCACCAAAAGACCACTCTGTGCCATCTCACACGGTGGATTTTAACAAATGCTAGGTGGTTGACCAGTTGATTGTTATTACCAAAGTTTTGTTTTATTTTCCATGTCTTGTAGGTTTAAAGCTGGGAGGGAATGGAGCAATCATTTACTACAAGTCTCTCATTTTACAAATGAATAAATTGAGGAGAACTAACATTTTCAAAAAGGGAAAGGACAATATTTATTAAATGCCTAATATACACCAGGCACTGTGCTTTACAAATGTTTTCTTGTCTGATCCTCACGACCATGCTGAAAGGTAGGTGCTATTGTCATCCACATTTTATAATTAAGGAAACTAAGGTAAAGTTTTTTCAAGTGACTTGCCCAGGGTCACACAATAAAAATTTGATGGCAGATTTGAACTCAGGTGTTCCTGACCTCAAGCCTGACACTGTAACCATTGCACCACCAGTTATTTGCAGCATTTCTCTTTAATATATGGCAAGTGATAGTTTGGGTTTCTTCTTTTTGAAAACTGCCTGTTCATATCCTTAAGCCATTTATCAACTGTGGAACAGCTTTTGTATCTGCAAAATCAAATCAGTTCTTTATATGTTATGGGAATGAGACCTTTATTAGAGAAACTTGCTGCAAAGAGGGTTACCCTCCCAGTTAACTTTCAGTGAAATGATGTTTGTAAAACAGACGGCACATTTTAGAGTGCTATATGACTGCAATCAAAAGTGAAAGTTAACTGGGATAGCATTTCTGGGGTTTGGGCTCACAGAGTCCTTTTTAGGGCTACTCATCCACCTTTCTTGTCCACCTGCTGCATCGAACTCTCCCTATGGCATGCACAGTGGCCACACTGTGCTAAACCGTCTCAGCAGATGGATTAAAGCAGGTTGAGGGCAATCCAAGGGCCTCAAACTTGTTGGCAAGTTAAGGGGATCTCTATCCCAAGTATTTGAAGACCTCCCCAGTGGAATGAGTGAATGGGAACAATTTGTTTTGGTGGTCATGCAGGTGGCTGAAGCAGGTTCTGTGGAGCACTGACAGCTTGGTCAGATATAGAAGATGCTAATGTCATCCACTGCATCCCAGGGCAACACCAGTCATTCTGACTTTTATCTTGCCGCTAGACTTTGATGACTTTGCAAGAGAAAGTGAGGCTGATGCTTCAAAGCTGATGACTGTGCAGCTCTGCCTTGCTTAAATTCAACTCATACACAAGTCAAGACACCACTCTATGATGTCATTGGTCCTCTTTGAAAATGAAGCACAAACAACATCTTGGTATGTTGTGTGAGATTTTGTCTATACCTCATTTCTGCTAGTCCCTCCCTCCACACTTCCATTTCCTAGTTTTCCCAGCACTTCTGTGAAATAGGAAGTGAGCCCTTCCTTGTTTCACTAGGAACTGTTTGGGTTTTTGAACATTGGACCACTAGATTCATTTGCTCCTCTATATAACACACGTCATCTGTTCCACTAATACATTCCTCTATTTTTTTTAAACTAAAAATCATTTTGATGATTACTGATTTGTAGTCTAGTTTGAGATCAGGATACTGCTAGGCTCCCTTCCTTACAATTTTCTTTTCATTATTTCTCTTTATGTGTTGTTTTTCCCCATTAGAATATAAGCACCTTGAGGGCAAAAACTATTTTGCTTTATTACTTTTCTATTAGCAAGGCTTAGCACAGCGCCTGGCACATTTTCATTCATTCATTTATTCCCACAAATTCTTAAAGTAGGTATTCATGATATAGAGGAATGAATCTTCTTTGTAATCTGTAAGTCATTCACCCCTTTCATTCCTTCTTCTTGAAGCTTTCCCATGTATTTCCCCCCTTCTCCTCCCTCCTCACCTTTTCCCACCTTTGTTTTGAAATCACAAAGTATCAGAGGGTATGTTAACTTCAGCTGGAGGGTCTCATCCAGTTCTTCATGGATTTGCACTACTGCTCTATCCTTAGCAACCAATGGTAGTGCACAAATTGCAGTTATTTTCAAGGTGGCCTGTTGGTAAATACTCATCATGATTACTGTGATACGTGATGACTAAATTGTCCAAGAAATAATGTTTTTTGTCACCTTTGGATATATGATAAAACCCACTCTGACAACTCCTTTTTTTGCCCCTTCAAGGAATAGCAGTGATCCATCCTTCCATGTACTAGTGGCTTTCTTTTTTCTTCTGGTTTTGTTTGTAGCCACAAAGTCAAAATCGATACGATTCATCTTCTCCAGCTATGTGTTCACTCATCAGTTGTTGGATGTGGATTTCACTTTCCGAGTACCGAGGTTTATGTTGAGGTCCTTTGTGATTTTTTGGGGGTGACATAGCTCCAAATTGCTTTCCAGAATGGCTGGAGCAATTCATAGCTCTACCATTGAGTATCTTTTGCCTCTGTTTCCCATCCCTCTGCCACCATCACTGCAGGAGCAGAAAGTGGCTAGATGTAGGATTGAGTGACATTTTTTATTTCTCTGTTTCATGGGTTTCTATAATATTTTAATAGGAGTTTTTAATTTACAGAATTGACAAAATGGCTCTCTCTATATGTGTGTGTATATACACACATACATATGTATACATATAGATAGATATAGATATGGATAGATATAAATATGGAGAGATATAGATAGATATGGTGAAAACATCTTGTGGTAGATGGTGACACCCACTGGCAAGGAGTGGTGCGGCACCCCAGTCCTTTGAGCCATTTCAAATACTACTTCGAAACAAGTTCCTCCTGAAATGAGTACCTACCTCTTCTCTGACACTAACATGCTGGTGATGCTGTTTGGTTGAGGGTCATGGGACTCCAAAGGCACTGCAGAATTGAAGTTGACCTTCACCCAAAGAGCAGAGAGGAAGCACATGGCAGGTGTAAGCATGTCAAGGACCATTACATCCAAGGAATTATACTGGAGAAACATAAAAGCATGTTGTCAAAAAAAAAATCCATGACTAGAATAAAGGATGGGCTAGAGCTCCAGACCTACAGTCAAGATGACCTAGTTCAAGTCCAGCCTTGATACTGGGCAATTCATTTAACCTCTGTCTGCTTCTATTTCCTCATCTACAAAATGGGGTTAATAATAGCACTTCTCTCCCAAGGTTTTTATGAGGATAAAATAAAATATTTGTAAAGCACTTTGCAAATCTTAAAACTTTAGGTGAATGCTAGGGATGACGATGATGATGATGATGATGATGATGATGATGATGATGATGATGTAAGAATATAAAATAACTGGTCTATACTGGAAAGATCTCAGACTCTGGTGGAAGACCTGGGTTCAAATCCCACCCCTGATGACTATTTGTGTGAACTTTGGTGAGTCACAACCTTCCTGGGGCCTGAGTTTCCTCATGAGTAAAATGAGAGGTCAGGCAAAATAACCCTCAAGGTCCTTCCAAGTTGTAGGTCTAAGGTCTTAGGTAAGACATGATCAATTGTTATCTAACCATTGTCAGGAAATGTAGAGGAAAGTCCTCAAAACGTTTGATGCTACTGGTTTAGAAAACTGACAGATTCATTCACTTGCTCAGGCACATGCATTAAGGACAGGACAGAGACAAGACTTCAGCCCAGTTCCTGACTCCAAGTCTTCATTTACTACATGCCTCTGCCTCAGTGTAGGATCCTTTGAAAATAAACTACTGAGTCACAGATAAGTGATAATTTTGGTAGAGGGAATTCTTCACACCCAGAGTCTCTAGTGCTGCCAAAATTGCATGTCTTTTTAAAAAACATGTTTGTATGTGATTTTATAATGGAAGTGATTGAAAAAACACTTTGCTTCTAGTTGGCTTAGCTGAAATTTGCTGTTCTTCAAATCAAGGGATACTGACTGGTTGTGTTAGCAATCATTTATAGGCTGTTTATATTCATGCCTTTTGCAGATTCTGAGTCGTTTGATTGATGGGAGTCGATTCCAGGAATTTAAAGCTGAATATGGAACAACTTTGGTAACAGGTTTTGCTCATGTGAAAGGGTAAGCCTTTCAGTGCTTCACTCTAGGGACCTTTGAGGGCTATTAGAGAGGTTAAGTCACATTCCCATTGTCACAAAGCTAGTAAGTGTAACTGGCCAGATTTGAACACAGCTCCTCCTGGCTTCAAGTCCTCTCATCTCTGAAGGGGTTGTACTTGGTGACCTGTAAGCTCCCTTTCGGCTATAAGCATATGAGTCCGTGATGCTGTATCGACTATGCCATGGTGCATCTCATCATAAGGGTATATCCAGGATTTGGTTGGGGGTGGAGGGGCATGAAGACAGGACAATCCAGCTTTCATAAGAAGAAAGTCAACTTGTTACAGAATAACAGGGTTGGAGGTGACTGTCTAGTCCAAACTATATTGACAAAAAGGAATTTCCATCATATCAGAAGACAGGTGGTCACTTGTCTTTTATTTGAAGACTTGTAAGAAGGGACACCCTCTGGAGACACCCCATTCCACTTGGGGACAGCTTTAATTTTTGACCTTGTCTCAACATGCCGCTTTGCAACTTAAACCCATGCCCCTGCTTTTTCCCACTGGGTTCAACCAGAGCAACCCAAATCCCTCTTCAAATACTTATATGCAGCTCCTGTGCTATGATCCCCTTCCCTGAACCTTTTCATCCCTAGTGTCTTCAACTTGTCTCCCTGTGACATGGATTGAAGGTCTTTCACCATCCTGGAGGCCCTCCTCCAGACACTCTTTGGCTGGTGCCCAGAAATGCACCCAATATTCCAATTTTGGTCTGATCAGGACAGAGTACTCAGGACATTTCACCTCCTCATTCCTGGAAACTAGGTGCATTTTGACCTAGCTCTTGGTTTTATAGCAGCTCTCCATCTCCCTAGAGTGTGACCCAGTCCCTCATTCAATCACAAAAGACTTCTGGCCAGTTTCACTTCAGTTCATCCAATGACTTCCAAGGATTTTTTGTACTTGGTCCAACTAAGCCTTTGATTGACAGATGATCAGCTCTTACCCAGCTAAAGTAACAAAGTATAGCATCTTATCTTTAGGTGAGGTGGGCAGTGATTTGATTTTAACGATAACAACAACAGTAATATATAGTGCTTACTGTGTTTCAGACAATGTGCTGAAGTGCTTTAAAATTATCTCATTTGATCCTCATGACAACTCTCTGAGGCACTGTTGTGCAGTCATTTTTCAGTCATGTCTGATACTTTGTGACCCCATTTGGAATTTTCAGTTGTATTTGACTCTTCATGACCCCATTTGGAGTTTTCTTGGCAAGACACTGGAGTGGTTTGCCATTTCCTTCTCCAGCTCATTTTACAAATGAGGAAACTGAGACAAACAGGGTGAAGTGACTTGCCCTGGGTCACACAGCTAGTGAGGCTGGGTTTTAACTCAGGTGTCCCTGACTTCTGGCCCGGAGCTCTATCCATTGTGCCACCTAGCTCAGGCAGTTCTAGAAGACTGTAAGTTGTAGAACAAATTGCTATCTGGATTAGTGGAAGGATTTTTCTCATGTGGTACAGGAGAAAGAATACCAGCTTTGCAGCTGGAGGACATGGGTTCAAACCTCGCCTCTGATGTTTATGAGTTGCGGGATTTTAAGAGTTACTGAAACCCCTGTGCCTCATTTTCTGCACCTGTAAGACAAAGGGGTTGGATGAGATTACCTCTGAGGTCCCTCTAACCTACACTAATGAAATCACCAATCTGATCCAAAAAAAGCCCCAAACCATGTACCAACTCATGAAAGCTTATTTGTAGCAAATCAGTCCAAAGTTGTAGGTCTTTTAGTTCATTGAGGGTTTTGATCTGGAAAGCAAAATTAAGTGTGAATGAAGGAGGAATCCATCTCTCGCCAGGTTCAGACATCCATTCTTCTTCCCTTGACCTTGTTATACAATGTCTGTCTTATATCTGTTCTTTGCCCTACCCCAGCTCCCTCTAGTAATAAGAAGGTACAAATCTGTAGTCAGTTTGATTCTAGTAATATCTCAGTGAGTTGTATGTTTTATATTTGAATTTTATTCAGTTGTATATTTTACTCCTAGCCTTCAAAAGCTGAAAAATAACATGCTTTCCCCAAAGTCATTTAAAACAAATTATTTTTGAGCTCTCAAAATGGCCCTTTCCCCTCATTTTAATTTTTTTCTCAGAGTACCAGGAAAGACGCTTTTAGAGAACAGGCACTGGGGATCAGCCTGGTGCCTTCTTGTTTTCACTTGGGGCGGCTGTCCAACAACAAACCTCCCTGTGATGGAGGAGAATAGAAACAGGGGGAGGTTGGGGGGAGGGGTGGCTGCTCCCTCACCATCCTGGGAGCCCTGGGGATCCTTTCCAGGCTCTAGCTGGGAACATTCTATGAAGCAGGTCTGTGGCAGGGAGACAATGGGAGTTGAGAGTGTGGGAGAAGCAAAGTTGGCAGTAAAGGGATTTTTCATCCACCAGCAACGGTTTCCAAAGCAACCAGCTCATTTCAGGGACAGGGATGACTGTGGCTCTGCTTTGTCAAGGATGTCTCTGCCTTCCTGCTTCTCACTCCTTTTTTGGGTTTATTTGAAGACAGAGGAAATGAAACAGGGGCATTCTGAATGCACGCTTGGTCACTGTGGAGATGTGAGTCTAGGTGAGCCCCTCAGATCAACCTGCGAATCCAATCACTGATTCTCCTGTCCTTTTCTGCCTCAGCTTCACCGCTCCCCCTTAATGAAAAAGTAAACAAAAAGCTTTGAGATAAAAGGGGATGGTTGGCAGATGTCAAGCTCCTTGAGGGGAGGCACTGTCTTTATTTTTGCTCACATTTGCAACCCCAGTGCTAAGCAAAGTGCCTGTACATGATAAGCCCTTAATAGTTACTTCCTCTTTCTCTCTCTCTCTTCTTTTCTCCTTCCCTCTTTTTCTCTTTTCTCCCTCCCTCCCTCCCTTCCTCCCTCCCTCCCTCCCTTCCTCCCTCCTTCCTTCCTTCCTTCCTTCCTTCCTTCCTTCCTTCCTTCCTTCCTTCCTCCCTCCCTCCCTTCCTCCCTCCCTCCCTTCCTTCCTTCTTCCTCCTCCCCTCCTTCCCTCCTTCCCTCCCTCCCTCCCTCCCTCCCTTCCTTCCTTCCTTCCTTCCTTCCTTCCTTCCTTCCTTCCTTCCTTCCTAGTAATAAACACTTAATAAATGCTCATTGACTGCCTGAATGATTACTTAGCTGAGGACAGAATGTTGGTCCCCAATAGTAAGGATGGTTTCATTTCTTGTCATTGTATTCCCAGTGAAATAGCACATAGTAGGTACTGAAAAAATGGTTGTGCCTGATTGGGGGTGAATCTTGTGCTGCAGGCTGATGCTCATGTAAATAGCTCACAGGGAGCTATTGTAATAGTGTGATAAAAGTATAATAGCTCACATTTATATGGTGTTTTACCTGAAGCTCAGTGAAATTATGCGAATGGGTCAGGACCTCATATACAGTAAATGTGAGAGTTAGGATTTGAACTCAGTTTTTCTACTGCAAGAGCAATGCCCCACGATGCCATGCTGCAGCCCAGACAGTATGACTGTGCTACTGGCACAAGAAGGGAAGACTTGGAAAGGATATGAAAATTGCCTTCAAGTGTCCAGGACCAGGAAGGGGCTTGAGCTCCTCATTGTCTTCCCTGGTCAGAGAACATCTGGAGTGAGATCTTTGGCTTTAGGAGCCACATTTTAGGTAGTTGGGTCAATTAAATAAACATTTGTAAAAGCACCTATTATGTGCTAGGTGCAATGCTAAGTGCTGTGAATACCAAGGAAGGTAAAATATGCCCTTACTCTCAGAGAGCTCAGTCAAATGGAAGACAGAACATTCAAGTGGCTCTGTACAAACAAGATCCATGCTGCATAAGTTGGAGATAACCCACTGGGGGAGAGAGGACTGGGCAGGGCTTCCTGTAGAAGGGGGAATTTTTAGCAGGGACGTGAAGAATGCCAAAGAAGCCATTGATGAGATGGCGCCTGGATAAGCTAGGTTTTGTCCAGGGGAGAACAACCAGGGTAGTGGAAAACCTTGAGGTCATGTTACATGAGGACCAGCTAAAGGTCCTAGTTAGGCATGTGTAGCCTGGAGAAGAGGAAATTCGAGGGGAGGGCTTGATTTCTGACTTCATATATTTGAGGAGCTGTCCTATAACAGTTATTCCTCTTGATTTGGCTTGGCCCCAAAAGGCAGATCTGGGTGTGATGGAGCTTACAAGGAGTCGAAGCTAGTTAGCTTGATTTAAGGTGAAACTTCTAACCTGTGAAAGCTGTCAAAAATGATAACAGACTGTGTCAGGAGTTAGAGGATTCTCCAGTGTGGGCGCAGGGAACACATGGGGACTGCCAGTCATGGTTAACATAGGCTTTGTCTACCTACAAAACTCTTCTATCTTTGACTTGTAGAAGAAGCAGTGACAGCCACCATCCCTAGGGTGCAGCAACTGATAGGGACTCAGACTGACAGTCTGGCAAGACTAGGATTGATTGGCTCAGATTAAATGTATTTTCAGGCCAATGTTAGGTGGTGCTGATACTGAGCCACCTCTGACTTGACTGTGGTCAAATCAGCTTCCTCAGGGCTATTTCCTCTACACAAAATGAGGAGGGTGAATTTGGCTTCCTGTAAGGTACCTTCCAACTCTAGAACCTTGCTCAGACACTCTTGTAGCGTGATGCACCTTTGGGACCTCAGTAGAGTATAAGCTTCCTGAAGGCAAAGATGGCCTCACCCATGCCTGCCGTAATAGTAATTGTTTCACAAATGCTTGCTGGTTGGTTGATCATAATAATAGTTCACATTTCTTTAGCACTTAACAATTTGCAAAGCACTTTACAAGTATTATTGCCTATGATTGTCACAGCAACCCTGGGAGGTAGGTGCTACATTTTCCTCATTGTACAGATGAGGAAACTGAGGCTGAAAAGCTTAAATGACCAGGGTCACACAGCTACCAAGTGCCTTGAGGCTGGGTTTGAATGCAGGTCTTCCTGATTGTAGATCCAGAGTGTTACACCAGCACTCTATCTGATATAGCACACATAAGGGCAGAGCCTTGATATCAAACTGACTTTATCCCACCTGCTACAGCTGCAAATGGCAAATTCCTCTCACGTGTCAGTGGCCTACATGGAAAGCACAAAAAATGGAGTCTTCTTTTTTGTCTTTGTTTTACCAGGCATCTAATTGGCCTGGTGGCGAACAATGGGGAGCTAACCTACCAGGCCTCCCTCAAAGGTAGCAACTTTGTGAATCTGTGCAGTCACCGGAACATCCCCATCCTGTTTCTCCTGAACACTGTTCCAAAAACATCTCAGTGCACAAGCCTTGCACAGGTACGAGATCTTCCTACAGTTAATTTTGTCCTTCCTTTTCCAAGCTGTTGACTCTGTCTCGCATACCTCTCATTTCTTTTCCCATTTTTTTCTTCTATCTCTCTCATTTGTCTTCTAAAATCCTTCTTGAGCTCTTCTAAGAAGGGTTTTTGGGCTTCAGACCAGCTCATATTTCCTTTTGAGGTTCCAGATGTGGGTTTGTTGACAATGTTGTCCTCTTCAGAATTTCTGCCTTGATCTTCTCTCTTCCCATAATAAGAATCTATCGTATGTTTCTTTTTGCTCACGGTGTTTGCTTATTTCCTGGCCTTTACAGAGATTGAGCTCTCCTGCTGGGGAGCAGAGGTTACTGACCCAAGCTTCTTGTGTTGGGAGCCCAGGGCCTGGTCACGGGCTTTGTGTGCTGGGGCCTCCAACGTTGGCAGTTAGAGGCTGTAGGGTTCTGACAGCTTACCTGGTGTTGGGCTGGAATCAGCAATGCTGGAACTCTAGGGGTTTAATTGGGCAGTGTGACTCCTGGAGATTTCCTGCTAACCCAGGCCTTTCCTTCTTTTCCCTTTCTTCAGCTCCTTTCAGATAGATGTTGTAGGGTGTTTATCTACCTGGGGCCCTTGGAGCACTGCTTCCCTTAGCTGTGCTGTGGTACTGGGAGAGCCGGTTGCTGTAGAATGCCGAGGCACCTGGTGGTTTTCCAAGCTGGTTTCCTCGCTGAGGCACTCAGGGGTCCAGGTGCTGGTGTTTGCCTGCTCCACTACCTGGGTTTCAGGATCTCCTCCTGGTATGCTGAGGTGGGGCTTTCCGCTAGCTTGCTGGGATGCCTCCCATTGGGCACTGCTCCCCTTCCCCCCCCCAACAGGGGCCTTTCCCATTAATCCCTCAAGCTACCTGGGCTACTGGACTGCTGCACCCCATCTTTCTTCTGGTTCAGCTGTTCTGGGGTTTTTCTTGGGGTGATGTTTTTTGGGCTTTCAGAAGTTAATAAGGGAGGGAAGCCATCTTGGCTTCCAGAAGAGGAAAAGCCTACTGAGATGTTCCAGTGGGGAGGAGTGGGGCCACCATGACTGAGAGTTTGCCTTTGGAGAAGGCTTCATGGCGACGTGTACAACTATTGTTTCCCTGACATCTAACAATCATCTCGAGAGATGCACAAATAGTCCTTGGACCCTTTTTATAGTTGAGGAATCCAAGGCTGGAAAGGCAAAGTTAATTGTCCAAGGCTACCCAACTTTTACATGGAACAGTGGAACATCATTCTAGACCTCTTGAGTCCTAGTCTGGGGCTCTCTCCACCTCTCACAAAAGAGGCAGAGGATCACATATTCACAGTCCATGTGGTCTAACTCCCTCATTTTACAGAAGAGGAAACTGAGACCCAGAGAGGATAATAATAATAATAACAACAACAGCTTGTGACCCTTACTACCTATATGGCCTTGGGCAATAATAATGGCTTACATTTCTAGAGAGCCTTAAGGTTTGCAAAGATCTTTACATATATTATCTCAATTGATTCTCACAACACTCTGAGGAGATAGGTGCTATTATTATCCCTATTTTACAAATGAGGAAACTGAGGTGAAGAGAAGTTAAATGACTTGCCCACAGTCACACCATCTATGAGTGGCTAAGCTTGAGTTTGACTTCAGTTCCTGTGACTCTAGAGCACAGTGTTCTTTGCACTGCCCCATCATCACCTTCCACATTCCTCTATGGATGGATTTTTTTCCCCCTTTTACATTATAATTCAATAGTTTTTCCATCTAGTTATTTTCATACCAGTCACTGCATGAAGTTTTAACTTAATAGCCTCCCTTGAGAGCATGCAGAAAGTTCCCAGAAAGATGTGCCATCACGGATAAGCCCCTTGATTTCCTAAGTAGAGTTCATCTCACGTTATTTTGTCCTCACTTGAGCTCTTCCTCATCAGTAATATTCTCTGTTCCCTCTGCTTTAAATCCCGTGCCTCTCTGCCCTCCTCCCAAAAGATTCATTTTCCTTTCTTTGGAACTAACAGATTATAGAATCACAGGGCTCAGAGCTGGAAGGGGCCTTAGAGTTTCTGTAGACCAGCCCCCTCTTTTTGTTGTTGTATAGTTGTTTTTCAACCACATCTGACTCTTTGTGATTTGCCCAAGGTCTTATAGTTAGTGAATAGCAGAGCTGGGATTCAGGGCAAAGTCTTTGACTCAATACCAACTGCTCTTGACATTCCATTTTTTATTCAAAGGATCATTGGACTTCAGAATCAGAAGACTTGGGTTTTGGTCCTGGGTCTCCCACCCACTATTAAAAAAATAAAATTAACACATTTATTTCCTGCCCACCCTATCCCCTCTGCTTTCTCATGCCCATAGAGAAAGGAAAAAAGAAAACCAAAATGAAACCATCACAAAAAAGATTCCCTCATTAGTCCTGTCCAACTATGTTTGTCTCCTGTGTCCTGAGTCCATCCTTTCTCCACGGGGAGGCGGGCAGAATTCCTCGTCACTGGTCCTCTGGATTCACAGTTCTAGTCGTTTCGTTGATCAGAGTGCTTAAGTCTTTCAAAGTTTGTCTTCTCAATGTTGTTTTTTACAAACAGCCTCTTCTCCTGGGTCTGCTTCCTTCCCTCTCCATCAGTTCATAGAAGTCTTCTCAGGTTTCTCTGAAACCATCCCCTTCATCATTTCTTAATCTGTTCAGTCCTTCCTCAATGGATGGATGGATGGATGCTTCCTCAGCGTTCAGTTCTTTGCCGCCAGAACAGGAGCTGCTACAAATAGTTTCACACATATGAATCCTTTCTTTGTTGTTTGACCTTCGGATTTTTAAGTCAAGTAATATTATCCTTGGGTAAAGGAGTTTGAGCAGGTTAGTAACTTCATGTATCTAGGCAGTGAAGTCGCTCGACCTTGAGTCAGGAAGATCTGAATTTAAATTCTGCCTCAGGCAAATACTGTAGCATCATTGACTGTTTCCCAGAATGTTCCCAGGTTAGATAACTGAGCCTCAAAGAAGATTGGTGGGCAGGTGGCTTGCAGAATGCCTCACAGCTTGTTCTTGGGAGAGCAGGGAAGAAACTCGAGGCCTGTTGCTTTTGTCAGTGCCTTGAATGTAGTAGACAATAAATGTTGGCTAAATGGCTCTACTAATTTTCCATTGAAATGTCACCTCTCTTATGTACCTTCAGCTGGGGAGGAGGAAAACGAGAAAATAGAACCTTTGATACTAAGAGCTGGAAGGGCCCTTAGGGGATTTAATCCAGCTCATCCTTTTCCAAAAGAGGAAACTGAGGCCGAGAGAAGTTAAGGTCCAAGATCAAGCCAGGTCCACCTTGACTCAAGCTCCAGTGCGTTCCCCATTACACCAATCACATTCTTGCTTTGTAGGGATAAAAATGACTTCTTAGAACAGTCCTTGTGAAGTGTCTTCTTTCCACTTTCATTTCAGGCAGAAGATCTAGGCAGAAGATTCAAGGCCCAGGCCTGTATGATGGCCACCATTGCTTGTGCAGAAGTTCCCAAGATAACTCTGGTCATTGGTGGCTGTTTTGGAAATGACAGCTATGCCATGGTACAGAAATATTGATGATTGGGCTAAATAATATGTCCTATTCACGTACTTCCTAAGCCTTCCCAAAAACAAATGTAGCCACCCCCCCTCCCCCGTCTGAGGCTACTGCCTTAAATCCCACTCTCTGTGTTTGGACTGGTTACTAGAGGTCATTTGCATATTATGAGTCTCAGAGATCTAGGGATAACACCATTAACTACTATTAATAATTGATAATAATATCACTAATAATTATAATTACTATTATATCATGCTATTCTATGCTGTGTTATGTTATATTATATTATATTATGTCATGTGTCATGTTGTATCATATAATTATCATTATATATTGTATTGTATTATCATGAGTCTATCAGTGTGCTTCCAATGAAAAAGTAGCCAGGAGATTTTAGCAAAGGTGTTTACTAAAAAGTGTCAAAAGAACTGTTGTTGGTTCAAATGCATTCTCTCCCACCCCCACCCAAATGTGGGGCCCCCTCTCCCACAAATCTACGCAGACTCTGTGGGGAAATTGGGCACAAACTTGATGGGAACTGAGGTTCGGTAAGTGAAGTGACTTGTCACAAAGCTGGTAAGAAGCAGACATAAGTCCTTTTGACTCCAAGTCCAATACTGTGTGCACTGTACCACATTGCCTCTTCTGTTGTATACATAAAATCTGAGTTTAAGGATGTCTTCTTTCAGGTAAGTAAGTGACTTAAGGCATCAAGGTGATGCAGTGGAGACTGGTGGATTTTGGGTCAAGGAGATTTGAGATAGAATCTTGCCTTAGGCACTTACTGTGAGACCCTTGGTGAGCTCTTTGTACCTCAGTTTCCTTATTTACCATATGAGGGAACTTGGCTTGAGGCCTTTAAGGTCCCTTCCATCCCTCGATCTATGGTCCTGGTATTATTGGCTCAACGTACCCTAAAGGCAGATTTTTCTTGTTTTTTTTTTTCTCTCACTCAAACGGATCGCTCATTTTTAGTGTGGAAGATCATTCGACCCTAATTTCTTGTTCCTGTGGCCCAATGCAAGAGTTGCTCTTGTTGATTGTAGATCTCTATTTGCTGACTTTCTGGAAGAAGATGAGAACTTCTACATGGACAAATCCACATTAAAGAATCTGGAGAAAAAGTAAGTTTTGAGGTCCCTACCGTGCTGACTTTTTACTGATAATTGGACAAGGCCCATTAGAGCAAGAAATGTAAATAATCAGACTTAGGAGAGAGAATTCAGGTCTCTTCCTCTCTCAACTTTCATCACAGCTTCTTTCCTAATGTTCTTCAATTAAAAACCATTAATGCATTGCCGTGGAGCAGGGAATACTTCTGTTGTTTGACTTTGTATACCTAGCGCTGTTGGTAACACAGAGCAGGGATTTAAAAAAAACAATAACAACTTGTTGAATTGAATAATAGATTCAGGATCAGAAGACCTGAGTATTTCATGGCTAGATGACCAGTTTGAATCCTTTTTCTTTTTACGAAGCTCTGTGCCCTTGGGAGGCCACTTCAGCAAATTAGGCTTCATTTTTCTTATCATAAAATGAAGGAGTTACCAAAAAGGAAGAAAATGACTCATCTATACAAAAGTACAGCAGCTGTTATTATTGTGACAAAGAAATGGAAACAAAAGGGGATGTTCTTCCGCTGGAGAATAGCTGAACAAATTACGGCACATGAATGTAATAGAACATTATTGCACTGTGATAAAGGGCTGTATTCAGAGAAACCTGGGAAGACTTGTATGAACTGATGCAAAGTGAAGGACAATATAATAATGAAAACCAATTAGGAAAGACTTAATAACTCTGATAAGTGAAATTACCAAGCAGGATTCCAGAGGGCTCATCATGAAGTATGCTACCCACCTCCTAACAGACTAGTATGGGATAGATCCAAGATGCAGAATGAGACATACGTTTTCAAACATGATCAATGTGGGAATTTCTTTTGCTTGAAAATGCTTGTTTGTTACAAGGATTTTATTTGCATTTCCCCATTTGGGAGGTGGTAAAAATAGGAGGGTTAGGAATAAGACTATCACCTTCTTTACCTCCCTCCCCACCCCCCCATAATGGAAGGAAAGTTGGGAAGAATCAAAGACCAGAAGGACAACTTTGAAAGTTTACATTTTGAATTTATTATACACTTAAAATATAAAAGCAAGGAGTATATAATAGAGGTTCATAATTTCCTTTATAATCTTAAAATAAATATAAAAGTGCTCATTTTATTGGTTATTGTTAAGTTCATAACAAAAAAAAATAAAATGATGTCACTTAAGGACAGATGATTGACAGGATTTCTCATTTCTAAGTCCTATGAGCTCTTTTTCTGAGAGTAAGCTTTTAAATAATTTTGCCTGTTGTGAAGCTGAATTCTTTTAAATTAAGATATGCTGATCCACAAAATGGGTCAGATTCTTCTTAGTTAACATTAACTTAACATTTAACAAAGAGTAATGACTTATATTTGGTCATCACCTTACAGTTTGCAAAATGCTTTCACATATTTGAGCCTCACAACATGCTGGGAGGCAAGAAAGGGCTTCAATATTCACACACAATGGTTAGAAAATAGAACAGCAGACATAGAGATAGAAGGATAGAGTACAGATGTTACATCAGCGACATCCTCAACCTTCTTGACCTCCTGTTTACCATCTTCTCTTCCTGGACATTCTCTTCTCTCTGGGTAATGATGATACTCATTTCTCTTGGTTGTCCTTCTACCTACCCAACTATTCCTTCTACTTTGTTGGATTATCATCCATAGCCTGTGCCCCTAACCATGGGTGTACCCCAACATCTCATCCTGAGTCCTCCTTCTGTCAACGCTTCTCTAACTTGGTGACCTCATCAGCTCCTATGGGTTTAATTATCATCTCCTTACAGATGACCCAGCTCATCTTTACAGTGCTGAACATAATTTGCATTTGATAAATGCTCTACCTATCTATGTCTATCTGTGTCTGCCTATCTATCCATCCATCTTCTATCTGTCTATCTGTCTGTCTATCTATCTATCTATCTATCTATCTATCTATCTATCTATCTATCTATCTATTTCTGTCTGTCTATCTATGTTTGTCTATCTATCCATCCATCCCTCTTTCTGTCTATCTACCTACCTACCTATCTACCTGTGTCTGTCTATGTCTATCCATCCATCCATCCATCCATCCACCCATCCATCCATCCATCCATCCATCCATCCATCTATTTATCTGTCTGTCTGTTTTTTAGACCTGTATACATTCAGCTGTACTTTCCATCCTGAGTTCCAGTTCTACATCATCAGAGAAAGGATTCAAATTCAAATCCTCTCTAACATGATGCCTAAGGGTTCTTTCCTCCATACTCACCACTCTGCTTCTTACTGTATCTGTTGTAACTTTCAATCTCAGCTGCAGCTGTATTTTATTTCTTGCATGTCAGCAGAATGCAGTCTCATGGAGGGCAGAATCTCCTTTATTTTTTTTATTCCCAGCCCTAGTACTGTGCCTGGTATATACTTTGTATTTGATAAATGTTGGTCGAATTGAATGATCTGTTTGTAACCATCAACCTTCATGCTCTCTTTATCAGACTGGAGAATGAAAGCACAGCATTTTATTCCTCAGCCAGACTGTGGGATGATGGAGTGATACTGCCCCAGAATTCCAGAGAGGTGGGCTCCCTTTGGTGCTCTGTCAGTTTGGGCCTGGGTTTCAAATGCCAACTTTAAGGATGAGGGGATCCTGGCAGGTTGACTAACATGCCCAGTGAGTCCCTAATGATTACTTATTTGGGGCAATGAGAAGATGACATGTTCCAAGTTTTTTTTGTTTTTTACTTTACCTTGACTTAATAGAGATAGTTGGGAGGTCAAAAGCATATGAATTGGTTTAATTCTGCCAAATGATTGTTTAAAGAACAACCTCATTAGTGACTTTTCCTCCCAAGCTGGTTTATGTGTAGATATAACCATAGTCAGCAGGTCCAGTGGTCCTGTATATAGAGTAATGGAGAGAGAGTCTGCTTCAGAGATTTGGATTCAAATCCTGCCTGCCACATACTGGCTTTGTGACTATAAGCAAGCCACTTACTCAGTGCTCTAGGAAACTAAAAATTTTAAGCTGCAGAGAAGGCGCCTACCAGCATTCCTCATTGGGGAGTTCCCTGGACCAGGAGAATGACAGGTGTGATCCCTAACTCATTTTAAAAGTTTTTCCAGACTCATATATCTTTGCCATCATTCAAGTGTTTTGCAGTCTAAACATCCTAGTTATTATAGTTTTTTAGCTATCCTTATTATTATAGGGGCAGCTGATGGCACAGGGTATAGAGCATTGGCCTTGGACTCAGGAAGAACAGAGTTCAGATCCAGCCTCAAACACTTACTAGCTGTGTGACCCTGGGCAAGTCACTTAACCTCCATTTGTCCCAATTTCTTCAACTGTAAAATGGGGAAAATAATAGCACCTACCTAGCAGAGGTGTCATGAGAATCAGATGAGATAGTATTTGTAAAGTGCCTAATGCATAAATACTTATCGCTGTTCCTTTCCCTTCCCTTTGTTCTTCTTGTCCAATCTATAAATCTCTTCTTCTAAATAAATTCTTTGAATTTTTGGTCTTTCTTCATCTGAGGATGAGCAAGAGATACTGCCCAACATCCCATTTCATAGATGAAAATACACAAGGATCTTTGATTTTCATCAGCATGGGAGAATTTGCAGTGTGAGATCTCTCTTTACCAATACGGATTGCAATTTGTTTGTGGCTTTGCACGGTGGTTCTCAAAGTGTGGTCCAAGGATATCTGTGGGGGAAGGGGTCCCTGAAGCTGTTTCAGGGAGACCTCTCTTGGTTAAGCATTCTTCAGACAAAGCAAGGGAGCCCTGAATACTGCTGGGGACCCCACAGCACAAGTCAGGGATGGTGGGAAGTTTAAATAATAATAATATCCAGCATTTATAGAGAGCTTTAAGGCTTGCAAAGCACTTTTCATATAGCCTCTCATTTGATCTTCCCAATAACCCTGGGAGAGCTTCATTGCTATCCCCTTTTATACAGATGAGGAAACTGGATCAGACAGAGATTAAGGGACTGGCCCAGGTTTACACAGCTAGGAAGTATCTGAGGCTGGCGTTGAATTCAAGTCTTCCTAATTCTGTGCTCTATGTTCTGTACCACCTAGCTACCTAGGCACTTTTAGGAGCATTACAAGGGAAGAAAAATGATGGGAAAAAATTAGAGAAAGAGATTTCATGAGAAATCGCTGCTAAGATTCACAGAGAACTCAAGTTTCCTAAAACTATAGAATCTTTAAGGTCTAGGAGGGACCTGAGAGTTCATCTTGTTCCACACCCTTGATTTTCAGAGGTGAGGAAACTGCAGCCTAGAAAACAGGAGTGGCTTTTCCAAGGCTACATACTTACTCAGTTATAGGTAGAGTCAGACAAGCATTCTTCTCAACTCCAAGCTCAGTATTTTTCCCACTACACCAAGGTAGACAATGGGATGTCCCTACCACGCATGGCAGGTCAAATGACTGCTTTAGGGATTCGCTTTAGGTATTAAAAACTTCTTGAGTGTATGAATTGTGTAATCTTGCAATGCACAGCCAAGAAGCCCCCTTTCTGGAGATTATTATAAAAAGAACAAACAATTAGCATGCTGAGATTTTGTCCTTGGTTGAAGAAAAGTCATTCAGTCAAGAAGCATTTATTAAGAACAATAGACTTGCCACCTTCCTTGAATTCCACATCCCTATGACCTCACAAAATCAGAGTTGTTATTTCAGGGATCTCCGAGGTCATCTTGTTTAACCCATGCCTCTATGTCACATCCAACAAGAGGCCATCCAAGCTTTCCTCAATGACTTCCAGTGATGGGAAGCCCATCATACTGTGAGGTAGCCCATTCTACTTTGGGAGACACTCCTCTGGACATCTTTTTCATGCCTCGGGAACCTCTTCATCCTGAAAGATCATTTCAGCCCCAGAACTTATACCTTGTCAGTGTCCTCTGACCCTGCAGCCCCTCCCTCCCTCCAGTTGTAAAACAGAGAGCTTCTCTCAGAACTTCCATTGAAAGAAGGCATCCAGGACAGCCATCTCTTCATTTCCACCTGGCTGCACTTCTCTGGGTTTTGCCATCATGAACCTGAGTTGGATACCTTCCCTTCTTGCTCCATCACCTTCAGCTTCCTTTTTGAGTATTGTTTTCTCCTGTTAGATTGTAAGCTCTTTGAGGACAGGCACTGTCTTTCTTTGTATCCCCTGTATTTAGGACAGTGCCTAGCACATAGCAGACCCTTAGTAAATGTTAATTAACACAACCTTCCTTTCCTTCCTAGAGAAAAATCAAAGTTCTAAGCAGAGATGATTGCACACCGAGACAAAGGGGAAAATGTAATGCACTAGAGTATACTATTTATAATGATTCCCAATCCCATTTCAACCACACAAGTCCAATCTCTTTGAAATGTCTGTGGTTATGGGTATTCCATTATAAGACTGCATGACAGTTGAATAGAATAGAATAGAATAGAATAGAACAGAATAGAAGAGAATAGAATACTAGATTTAATAGCCACTGTAGCAACTATTGTTTCTTCTTCCTTCTTCTTCTTCTTCTTCATTATTATTATTATTTTTAATTATTACTAGGGCTCAGGGTTATAATAATGGCTAAGAATGGAGACTCAGTCTGTGATTTCAAGGTTCTATGAACTCTTTGGTGAGTAATCTCCTTCACCAGTTCAGGTTGGCACCTTCTCTGCACTCTGTATTAGAGTGTTGACTAGAACTCTAAGAAGTGAAGTGACTTGCCCAGGGTCAAGCAGCCAAAATTGTCAGAGGTAGAACTTGAACTCTGATCTTCCTGGCTCTGCTCACCTCACTGTGCTGTATTTGATAGGTTTTAGAACAAACTCTTGCCCAACTGTCCCACATCGCTCTAAGCCCTCCCATAGAAGAACAGAACACAGTAATGAAAAAGAACGTCACTCTAATTCTGCGGATTCATTCATTCGTTTCCAGGTCTGATCTCTTGCATTTCCTCTGTGTCCAGGTGATTGCGAAGTGCTTAGCGATCATCAAACAGAAGGAGAGCCAGACTCTCACCCATCAGCAGCAGCCCATTCTCCGGATGTAATTAGAAGTGACTGTTACGCATATGAAATGCTTTGCAAACAATGGCTTCAGGGACTTTTGTTTTTTACAACCACAAGACTGGATTGGTGTTGATTTACCGAAACTGAACAAATCGAGCAAAACTCAGAAACAGAAGCTTACTAAGAATGCTAAATCATTAATCTTCAAGTGCCTCAGTTTCTCCACTACTGTAAGAAGCATGGGCATACTGGATGGTTTCCTAGCAAAGGAAGAGTATTTTGGTGGGGAAAGGGTTGGGCTTAGATCCCTGAGGACCTGGGTTTGATTCCTGACTCTGACACTTACTAGTAGTGTGACCCTAGTGAATTCTTCAGCTTTTTAGGCATCTGTTTCACCATCTGTATGATGGGGACACTGGCTGATGAGGTCTTGGTCCTCAGAGTATGTGCAATATGACTTGGTGAGCCTGTCTGTAGAAATGTGTGATGGGGGGCCTTCTCCCTCCATGATTCAAAGCATGTGAAGGTGCCTTCTGTTTCTTGTCATCTTGTTGGGTGGTCATGGAAATGCTTTTCATTGGTTGCTAAGCTAGAAACGAGCATGTATACAAAGGCTGGAATAGAAAATGGATGAATTCTCTCTTTTCTGGTTGTCACTGAGGCATAGAAGAAGCAGCAGTAGCCTGCTGTCTGTCACTGGCCCCCTTCTTTCCCCACTGAACACATGGTCCTGCCTATTTCTGCCCCTGTGTGTTTCTTCTTTCCTGATCTTAGGTGAATGATTTTCAGAGAGAGAGAAGAGAACAAGTGATGATTTTGTGATCTTCAAAAGGTTGGAAGAGTCCAAGAGGACCAGCAAATATAATTCATACCAGATCGTATCAGTAATGGCAGCTGCTGAACATAATGAGAAGCCATTCCTGAGGTTGGAAATGCTCAACACAGCCTGGCAATCAATAGACCCAGCAATTGAGATGCTGTGTCCTATGAGGAAGGGAGTGACTCCACTATGACCAGCCATGATTCCGGAGGACCAGTGATGCAGGATGCTGCCTCCCTCCTCACCAAGAGGTCATAGACTAAGGGTCCAGAATGAGACAGGCATTTTTGACATGACCAATTCAGGAATTTGTTCCACTTGATTCCTTGACTATATGTATTTGTTACAAAGGTTTTGTTTTTATCCTTCTTTTCGTAAAATATGAGGAGGTTGGAAGGAAAGAAAAAGCAGTTTTTGTTGATTAAAAAAATAAAACTTAAATAAAGAGAATAAACACAAAAATGGAGTGACTCATCTATCAGCAATATCACAATTAGAAGTGACCTTGGGGGTGGTATTTAGTAATCCCCATTTCCAGTTTAAGGCCATTAGCTCCAGGAATCAAGGAGGCAGAGGGGCTCTGCTCCTGGTATGAGAGCTTGTTGTAATTGTTTTTTTGCTCTATTTTCTCAGTAATTATTCCTTTGGAAAAGCTAATTGATTATATTGGGGAGGTATTAACTGGTGATTGATATGGTGGGGGGCTACCAGGTGGGGGCTCATAAGCAGGAATGCCAGAGACTCTCTGGAGCCCTCTGGGTCATCCCTAGAACCTTGAGGGGAGAAGTAAGAGCCATGGTCTGGGGACCCAATGTGCTTATCCAAGTGAGATGGGAGAATGAGCCCCAGAGCTCTGGACTCAACCTATAAAACACACACAGAAATGATACGTAGGGCCACAGACAGAAGGCTGGAAAGGGACCGTAAGTGTCATGGAGCTCAGCTCTCTCATTGGATGCATGAAGGAACCTTAGTAGCCAAACATTATCAGAGGAAAAGAGGGAAAATCACCTGCCCCAGGTCACAAAGGTCAGCTGATCACGAGATCTAGATTTGGAATAGGAAAGCTTACAGACTGTTGAATCCAACCCTCAATTTTACAGAGGAGGAAGCTAAAGTCCTGAGATGGCAATGATTTGTCCTCGGTCATTCAGGTGTCAGTAGGACCTGGGATTTGAACCCAGACCCCTTAATTCCTCTTCAAGATGGCGGAGGTGGTGGTGGTACTTTAGTGCAAAGGCCTCCTCGGCTGGGACCTCTGCTGCCAGGCCAAGGAAGCCTTTTTTACTGGCAGGTCGTAGGAATAAAATAACATTTTGGCTCCGTTTCAGTGAGGTGCTGAGTGAGCTCATAACTCCACCATCTTGCTGCCACGGTTTTCTGGTGTGAATGTCCTCTGGACTCCTGGGCCTCACGTTGACCCTAGAGGTGCACCTAAAGGACAGCTGGGCCCTGCCATTCTTCCTGTTACTGGACACCCCCCCACCTCCAAACATTGCCTCCCGCCCTGCAGCTGGACACTCCCGTGGGTGTGTCTCCTGCATTAGAGTGGTAGCTCCTTGGGAGAAGGGCCTGTCTCACACTTCCAGTTGTATCCCAAACATATGACACATAGAAAGCATTTAATCAGTGTTTCTTAATTCCATCATTCAGACCCAAGCTTTTTCCACTCCCCCATGCTATCTCTTAGCCAGAGTGAATCCAGGAAAGATTGGCCATCTTAGAGTCGTAGATCAGAGAAGGTAGGGACCCAAGATGCCAGCTCATTCAACCCCCTCATATTTACAAATATGGAAATGGAGGCCCAAAGCAGAGTGACTTGCCCAAAGTCACACATGTGACAGTGGCAGAGGAAGGACTTGAATCCAGGACCAAGACTAAATCCTGAGCTCTCTTCACTATATCGCACCAACTCCCCCACTGGGGCTCTGGGACTCATCATCAAAACTACACACAAATCAGTGGCCCCCAGAGCATGGATCTCAGGTCGACAAAAAGGAGTGCAAACACCGAGCTTTGCTGAATGTACACCTTTGTACCTGGAATCATTTTAATGACGTCCACACTCGTACCACCTAAGTGTGCCCAATACAGTCGTCCACAGGGGTCTTCTCTGGGATCCCCAGGGTGGTCTTTTTGAGGGCAATGAAGCACCCAGCATGATATGAGACTCCCGACATTGTCTGGAAAGCTTTGGGCCACTCTGGGAGCTTGTGGGGAAGACCAAGTCAGGTGCCCTCGGCTCAGCTAGGAGGGACTATGGGAGCAGAAGGGAGGATGGGCCCAGCCCATGGGGACCTCTAGGCTGGGTCACTGGGCTTGGCCCATGGGGATGACTAGGTCAGGTAGCCGGGGGTCCTGAGGATAGTGAAGAATGACCCAGGGTCAGGATTTTTTGAACAGCCCATGGAAGGTGACAGGGATGTTGATTTCCACTTCGGCCCGAGCGACTTCGGTCATGTCCCTGGCGTTGAGGACCAGGAGGTAAGCTGGCTTCTGCCCCACCCCGGGGCTCACCACCACACTCAGAACCACTCCTGGCAAGCAGAGGCAAACAGCAGAGAGGGTCGGTTAGGGCTGAGCTTACAGATCGTGATCTCTCTGCCTAGTTGCGAGGGAACTGCCGAAAGAGGCCTAGTCCTGCCTCTGACACTCGGTGACTGTGCCACCGGGGGGGCAGGCACCTCCAGGGTGCAGGAAAAGGTCTCCCCCTCCCCCTCCTGCCCCCAGGCTGACCATTCTTCTGACCCTGATTACCTTTCAGTGCTCTGGGCAATGGTCTGACATTGTAAGGTGCAAGAAGGTGCTGATTTATGCTGGGGGAGAGAGTTTCCTTACCTAGGAGGCACCTATACTAATGAAATTACAAGTGAAAGCCAGGCCTGGAATCAGGAAGACCTGAGTTCAAATTCAGCCCTAGATACTTTTTATTTGTGTGACCTGTTTCTTCAACTGTGAAATGGAGGTAATAGTACCTATCTCCCAGGGTTGTTGTGTTGTGCAGTATTTGCAAATTTCAGGGCATTAGCTATTACTATTCCTTATCTACATTATCTCATCTGATCCTTAAAATTTGCTGGAGAAATGTGTTTTTATTAACCCCATTTTATAGATGAGGAACTGAGGCAAAAGAACGTAAAATGACTTGCCCATGCTCACACAGCTAGTGAGTTGCTAAAGTAGGGTTTAAATAATAATAAACATTTATTTAGCGCCTACTATGTTCCAAGCACTGTGCTAAGCTTCTTACATTATCTCGTTTGATCCTAGAAGGTGGGTGCTATGATTATGTCCATTTTACAGGCAGGAAACTGAGGCAGAGATTAGGTGACTGAGGCTGGATTTGAACTCATGTCTTCCTGATTCCAGGCCCATTGTTCTGTGCCCTGTGGTGCTCTCTAGTAGGGCTCGCAATTACTGCTATGGAGCCCAACCATGGGTCCGGGTAGCAAAGGACTCCATGGCATCCCACACTGGTGGAAGTGGTCTGTGGCTTGAGGCCCGGGGTCCTTTTTGGCACAGCTCCTTCCTTTGTGGTCACTAATCACTGTCCGTCCATGATTTTGGTGAAAGGCCTCTGAGAACCCCAGAGCCAAAAAACTTAGTCACGCATTTCAGGCGTGGGGCACAGTCTGTGCAAATGCGGAGAAGTGGGAAGCGACCAGTTAGTCCAACCCAGGCCTGCTCTCCAATGTCCTTCCTAAAATGGACCCTTCCCCCAGCTGGAGAACCACCCTTGTGCCTGGAACGGTAAGAGTTATTCTGCCCACAAAGGGAAGAGTGACAAGCTCCCTTAGCTGTTGACCTGAAAACGAGATCACAGGAAGGGCACAACGGCCAGGGACGTTTCCTGTCTTCATTACCGTCATCTTCTTCCTGGGCGTCCGGGTGGGACACGAAGATGGGCTCGGACGGATAGGAGTCTGGTTCTTGCCACAGCCACATTTCTTTAGTTTTGACATTCAGCTTACAGAGCTGCACAATCAGAGAAGAGGAGAAACACACCCATGAACAAGCTTGGTTTTCCTTAAATAAAAGAGCTGTCTAAGGGCTTCCCCAGCATTAGCACCACCCATTACCCTGTCGGGAACAAAATGATTCAGTCCAAGTCCATATGCATACATGTAGGGCTTCCCACCGTACTTCTGGTAATTGATTTGGGGAAACTCGAAAGCTGAAAAAAAAAAGGATAAAATGAGGGCAAATAATGAAAAAGCCTTTCTTAATCACTCGCCATGTGCCAGGCACTGTGCTATGCGGTGAGGATACAAAGAGAGGAAGGCCAGCCAGGCTCTGTCCTGGGAGAGATTCCATTTTAATGGGATGCTGCCAGAAAGTGTGAGGGGGCAGTCACTACCTGGGGGCGGGGCTCAAGGCTGGCTTTAGAAATGGCCTCACTATGCCTGAGAAGTTGAATTCTGTGCAGAATTTGGGCTTCATAATAAAAGGGTAAACCAAATGAGAATTTGCAACTAGATTTAGAATTGTAATTTTCCCCTCTTTTCCCAGGAGTAAATAAGGTAATCACTTAAATAAAGAGGACTGAGAAAATTCCAATTCCTTAGACTTTGGGGGGAGGGGAATAAGCCCAAGAAAGTGCCCCACAGTAGAAAGTTACCTCCTGTGCCAACAATGCAATGATGACCCCAACCCCCTCATTCTGCAGGTGGGGAAGTGACGCCCATAGAGGTGAAATGACCTTCCCAATGTCACTAGGATGGTCTGGGGCAGAGCTGAGATTCAAACTCAGGTGACCCAATTCCAGAGCTATAACTCTTTTCAGAGAAGTACAGGCGAAATATGTGATTGGTCCTGCGGAAGGAGCCCTGCTTGGGGTCAGAGGGCTCTCGTTCTAACGCTGGACCTAAAGCTTGCTACCTGTGTGAGCTGAGCCTGAAATGTTTTCATTTGTAAAATGAGGGGTTTGTACCAAACGGCTTCTGTGGCCTGTCTTCCTAGTACAGCAGTGACTCGCATTCCTAAGGCACCTTTTTCATAAGGAAGTTTGAGAGTGATGCTAATTTTGCAGATGAAACTGAGAGGCTAGAGAGACGAGAAGGCTTAGCCAAAGTCCAATAGTTGGCAGATGGTCAAGACTTGACCTGAATGAGATGTGAACAAGCTGGACACATCTCAGGGGAGTGACCTGGAGACTGAAAGCCGTCTGAGGGCAGGAAAGGTCTCCCATGTCTGGCACAGTGTCGAGCACAGAGTAAGTGTTTATAGAGGTAAGAGTTAGTGGAGACGGAGCTCCCAGGGGTCTCCTGCATGACTCCTGTCCTCACCTTGGCGGGGCCCAGAGAAGAGGACCTCCGGCTCCAGCCAGATGGTCTCATCACTGCAGAGAATGGCAGCAGCTGTGGTGTTGGGCAGACTGATCAGATTCTTGCCTGTGTCAGCCTAGGAGAAAGACAACAAAACCACTGAAAGAAGAAAAGCAAAATGGCGAGGTGGGTCTGGCTTGGCTTCTCTGCCTCCCTATACAGACACGCTGGAGCTGTGATGATAACATTCATTCCTAGGGTTTGCTAGGTGTTAGCCTCATAACAGCTCTGGTAGGGAGAGTGGAGCATATATGTCATGATCAGCATTTTACTGATGAGGAAATTGAGGCTCTGAGATATTTGTGCCCTGTCCTTGGTCACAGATCTGGAGAGTGCCCAAAGCAGGATTGGAACTCAGGGATGCTGATTCTCAAGTGAGTGATCTTTCTGCTCTACCATGAAGCATCGAGGCTACCTAAGGTGTGGTGGTGAAAACACTGTCACAGGAGGCGTGAGAAGGGAAGATGGTGGGGTTGGACTAAGTAGTCTCAAAATAGGAGCCAGCATTTCTCCAAGCACATTAAGGCTTGCAAAGCGTTTCACAAATATTGGCCCATTTGATCCTCACAACAATCCTGGGAGGGGGGGGGGCTGTCAGTATTCCCATTTTTCAGATGCAGAAACTCAGGCAGACAGAGGTAAAATGACTTGTCCACAGTCACACAGTCATTAAGCATCTGAGGGAGGTTTCAAACTCGGGTCTTCCTGATTCCAAAGCCAACACTGCATTAGGCCACTTAGCTGCTTCAAAAGCCCCCCTAAGCTCCCCAAAGCCTAGGATGCTAGAGAGAGGTCTTATTATAACAGTAGGTTCCATAAGAATTTTCTTGGCCACTAGATCCAGAATATATTTGAGAGAACTATAACTATGCATATGTATTTGTACTGTATTATACATATGTATGTATTGTATGTATACACATATAGATACATATACATGTATGTAGCTATATATTTGTATACATGTATGAATCCGTATGTGTTTCTGTGTGGGGAGAGAGACAGAGATGAAAAGAGAAAGGCAGAGATAGAACACTAAGGTGCTGGATTTGGAGATAAAAAGACCTGGGTTTAAATCCTGTCTCTGACATTTCTTACCTGCGTGACCAGCAGCATGTCACATGAGCACAGAAGAAAGATTTAAAACTAGAAGGGACCTTAGAGGCCAAGTCCAACCCCCTCATTTTACAGCTGAGGAAACTGAGTCTCAAAGACTTAAGTGACTTGGCCAGGGTCACATAGCCAGTAAGTGTCTCGGACAGGATCTGAACACCTCTCCCAAGACTCCAGTGCTCAATCCCCTGTACACCAGCTGTCGCTCTACTCTCCTGGGCCTCAGCTTGATCATGGGAAAAATGGGGAAAGATGAGCTGGGAAGTTCCTACCTCAGAGGGTTGTTTTGAAGTTCAAATGAGATCACTTACGTAGTCTGTAAACTATGAAGCGCCCAATGAATGTACCGTATATATGACCTGTCGACCCAGTAACTTGCTCATGTGAGTATAAACCCTAGAATTCACTTGAGGGGCATTTTGCAGTCAGATTGGTAATACTGTGACCTTTGTTCCACGAGACCTCTTGGCAAACGGCTCATTCTCTTCTTTTTCTTTTCCTGGAATATCTAACCATAGGGCTACATCTGGTTGGTAGGGCCATTGGAAACTTTGGGAAATCACTTGCCATTGCACAATTAGGATTACATCAGAGTTGCATCAGAGACAAAGGTGCTGAGGAAACTTGGTTTCAAGTACTTTCTAAAAGTCTATATTTATCCACTCTGGGTTCATGGAGAGAAGACACTGAGGGAATCTAACCTAAAAGGAAATGTAATTCTAACAACCTCTGCCTTGTTTCCAATTCAATGCTGCTTCCTGATTTTGTGATTTCACAGGTGAGTGATTTCCAAATTAAGCCAAAATATACTTTGATACTTGGTTACCACAATGCAAAGGTGGGAATAGGTGATGGAGACGGTGGAAAATTCGGCTAAGGAGTAGGGAATGAGAGATACCAAAGGTTTGTAGAGTGACTCCCTGGAAGCCTCACACCTTGGCCTCATGAACACTTTCTTCACAAAAGGAACAGGAAGGGGATGGACCTGGCTAGCACCAAATACAACAGCAGAAAGAAATGAAAAGACTTCTGTTGGAATAGACAGGAAGCTGTTCCCCAATGGGATATCTGTGTGTGGTTATAAAAACAAAGATCAGACAAAAGTAAAGCTGGGAACAAGCTTCCCCAAGGCCAGGGACTTAGTAGGTAAGTCCTAAGTCCAGTGAATTGCCCAAGGAGATACAGGTCTTGAGCCTCCAAGGCAGGATTGGATTCCCAGGCCCCAGGGCTCTGTCCTCCATCCACTGTGTCTCCACCTGTAACCTTAGAGTCCAGGACCATCCCAGTCCCCCAGCCCCCATGGGGAAGGGAAGCCAGCTGGCTATCTCAAGACCGAGAATGTGTGGACCTGACACACCTGGAGATGCTTCGGTGAAATTACCTTGTTAATAGCCAAGGGAAGGACGTATCGCCGCACTTCAGGCTGGGGAGCCTTCGTGGCGTTTCTTTTGACCTCCTCCCAGTTCTCCCGTAAATTGGCTAAATACAAGTAATTATAAACGAACTCAAATCTGTCAAGGGAAGAATTTCAGCGTGAGCAGAACAGCAGCAAACACAGGAGAGGTGCTTTATGCTTCACAAAGTGCTAGGCGTCTCTTCCCCAGCCTTACAATCACACTGAGAAGCAGGTGCTGGTTTTATCCTCTTTTCAAAACTGAGTCTGACAGGAGGTATGTGGCTGGGCGCAGAATTGTCCAGGCGCACAAGGGCAACTCGAATCTTTTTGACTCACTGAACCAGCTGACTGCCTTTGGAGAAGTTTCAGGCACCTCTGAGGCAGGGGTGGGGAACCTTCGGCCTCGAGGCCACACATGGCCTTCTAGGTCCTCAAGTGTGGTCCTTTGGTGGAATCCAAACTTCACAGAACAAATGCCCTTAATACAAGGATTTGCTCTGCAGAACTTGGACTCAGTCAAAAGACTTCAACCAAGGATCTAGAAGGGCACATATAGCCTCAAGGCTGCAAACTCTGACTCTAATATGCAGAGGGAGGTCCATATTCTGCGATTTGGAGCTGGTGTAAGGTCATGGGGATGATGCCCCTTGAACAGCCCACTTCTCATTTCCTCTAAGCCCTCATACCAAGTCTTTATGAGCTGCTATGGCTAAAACAATTCTGGTGGCCAGCCTCCTGGAGCCCAACATCTCCAAATTTAGCTAGGTTTCTTTTCGGATGACAAGTATGCAATCCCCTGCCAGGTCTGAGCCCTACTTCTAGGTCATGGCCCTTCTCCCTTCCCCCTCACTGCCATACACCAAAGTGAGCTGTCAGGGAAGAAAATGGAGAGCAAATCATCCTAGGAATTATACTAGCCAATGATGCCATAGCCTTTGAAGGCTGGCAAAATTCTTTATGTGGGTTATCTCATTCAATCCTCACAGCAATCTATAAGGCATATACTATTATTACCCCCTTTTAACAGAAGAGAAATTGAGTCTGGGAGCAGCTAAGTCACTTGCCATGGGTCACCTCGTGAGGAAGGATGTGAGATCAGGTGCCCAGCACTTTATTTGCTGCTCCAACCTAGCTAACTCTTGGCTCTTAGGGTACATGCTGCAGACGTGACTCCTTAGGGGGATGTCTCTAGGAAAACAGTTCTATCTACTCGAAAAATTGCTTAACCTCCAGGTTAAGTTACTTGAAGGGGAATGTGGTCACTGGAACTCAGTCCCCTGGTCTGTAAAATGAGAGTGTGAGACGAGATGGCTCCTCAGGTTCCTTCTAGCTCCATGACCCTATGGTATTCCCAAGACACTGGGCCTCAGTTTCCTCATCTGTAAAATGAGGGGGTTGAGCGAGATCAAGTGTTCTTAACCTATTTTGTGTCCTGGACCCCTTTGGTAAAAGTCTGGGGAAGCCTATAGAGCCCTCCTCAGAATTGTGTTATTAAATGCATAAAATAAAGTACATAGGATTACCAAAGGACCCAATCATATTGAAACAGTTATCAAAACATACTTTATAAATAGTTCAGGGACTGCAGGGAGAGAGTATCTGGGGTAGACGAGGATATTTCAGCTCTGGAGAGAGAATCCCAAGCTTCCAGGTGAACTAGACTCCACAAGGACCCATTGGACAGATGTGGGACCCAGGTGTGGTGACAACCTCCCCCTCCCCCCCAACCCCTACCCCATGTCTTTCTGTCCATACCCTTTCCAGCAGCAGAGGTCCACGATCAGGAAGTTGCCCTCTTCATATGTATTAATGTGGTGGAAGAGGTTAAAGGAGGATGTTCTGTATTTGGTATTGAGGTATTTGCCTCGTTTTTTATCAGCCACATGAAGCCACACCTTGGAAAGTGGGAAGAGAGTCAGAAGGTACCCTCAGGACACCCCGCCCACCAAAGTGCTCGACTTAGTGAGGTGGGCACCTACCCCCATGGTTTCGTTGGACTCAAAGCAGTCCATATAGTTGGCTCCCCAGAGGGTCCAGGAGGAGAGGAACTTCAGGAGGTTAATTTTGACGGGCGTTTCCACAAAAACGATGTAATTCGGAGTCAGCCCAAAACTGTGGAGAAACACAGTGGGAGGGCTGCCGCACATGGGCAGAACTGAACACAGTCATGGGGCTGACTCAGGGAGGAAGGACCCCCAAAGTTGCATACATTTAAATGGAATTGACCACAGGGAAATACTGCATTTGGGTTTGATCCAAGGCAGGAAAGACCCTAAAACTGCTTCCTTTTCCCCCTGGCATGTGGAAGAGGGCTCCTGAGTTACCTGTGGACGTAAGATGGCTTCAGCCGATCACTGCAAGGAAACTGGACGACCACCTCAGACTTGTTTATTGGGTCTTCTCTGTCTAAAATAAAGTCATTTTCACAAGGCCATTGTGGAATCTCTTGTGAAGGAGTCATTTCAGGAATTTAAAACCATGTGTGCAAGAAAAGTACATTTTCAGCTTGTTTTGCAGTGCTTAATCTGGGCCAAAGCCACTTGCTGTTTGCTAAGACATTTACTCTTGACTTTCCTCACATCTGTTTTCTTCTCTCTCTGAGCTTTAAAGCTGGGCTCGCCTCCATTGGAACTACCATAATCATCCTCTGGTTGGTTTCCCTGCCTACAGGCTCTTCCTTCTCCAGCCCATTCCTCACACAACCACCAAGCTGACATCCCTAAAATATGGATCTGACTTGACTTCCTCCCTTCCCTCCATCCCACTCCAAAGTTTTCAATGGCTCCTTAGGTAGCCTGGCACTTAAATCCCTCCCTCCCCAATCTGACTCCCCCTGATTGTTCCAGTCTTATTCATATGACTTCTCTCCATGTACTCTCTAGTCCAGCCAGGCCGGCCCCAAAGCTGTTCCCCAGACACACTGTTCTATCTGTGCTGATGGTCCACCATGTATGGAAATATTCATTGTCTTCAGCTCTGCCTCATAGGATTCCTACTCAGGTGCCTCTTCCTATGGGCAGCCTTCCCAGAACCCACCAGGATTAGCATCTCCCTTTCCTGAAATTACTTTGTATTACCCTATATTTACCTCCTTGTATGCAGTAGAATGTAAGCTTCTTGAGGGCAGGAACTGTTTTGTTTTTTACTTTGTATGCCCAGTGCCTAACACAGTTCCCCAGCACTTAGTTAATCCTTAATAAAGCATGATTGAATTGAATTGAAACTTCAATTTAACAGACAAATTTCCAGTGAAGCCAATGAGTCCTCCAGGGAATCAAAGGAGACTGATGATTCTGAAAAGTGCCCAGGCCCAGCCCCAAGACAGCAGAAATAGGCTCCATCATCCTGCAGCCCTGACTCATTTCTCCAACCTGGGAAAGTTTAGGTAAGGAAGGATTGAGCTTGTGGGTGTACCTGCTTGTAGGGGAGGAATCCGGACAATGTTATAAGCAATCGAAAAGTTCTTTCCAAAGCAGTTGCCGATGTTATAGACAGTTCCATCATTTTCGATGTGGGGGTGAGCTGATGCACCATTGACTGAGACATAGTTGCAAAGATCAACCTGGAGGAAAGGAAATGGCCTGGGTTACTAAGCCTATGCCAGTCGTACTCTACTTTCTGGAGCCTGACAATAGTAACAGAATTGATCTGGAGGAACAAGAGGTCTAGAACCTCAAGGGAAATAATGAAAAGGGGGAAAAAAGTGTAACGGAAGGGGAATAAGCCATCTAGATTTCATATTATATTAGAAAGCAGTAATTGTCAGTACTGTTTGGTACAAAAGGCAGCCCCTGGTACCATGGAGAGAGCATTATATTTAGAGGTGGGGGGCCTGAGTTCAAATCCTTCCTCTGATACATATTACCCAAGTAGTGTTGGGCAAGTCACTGGATTGCTCTTGGCCTCAATTTCCTTACGTGTAAAATGAGGAGAACAGACTCTCCGGGACCCTCTTTGTCTAAAATTATGATCCTGTTTTCTTTTGGTCCTAGATAAGCAAGAACCAGAAACAACTGAACCCAATAACACAGAATTAGGAGAAATCTGAGAAGACAAAGTATGTAGGAAAGAATTCCCTAGCTGAGAAGATCTTTTGGGAAAACTGGAAGGCAGTTTGGCAAAAATTAGGTTTAGACTGACACATTACATACACCACATAGCACAATAAGGTCGAAATGGGTGTGACCTGAATATAAAAAGTCACACCACAAAAAAAATGAGAAGACATTAAGATCAGGTTCCTTTCACAATTCTGGCTAGGGGGAGAAGGCATGGAACAGTCCCCCCCCCCCCAATAGATCCTTTTGATTACATGAAATTGAAACTCTTGGGTGAAGACAATCACCCCCACTAAGATAAAAAAGGAAACCTTCCCCTGAGCATCAAGTATTTCTGATTAGTGTCTGATATCTAAGATATACAGGGAACTAAAGCAAATATTTACCATATAAGCTCCACCCCAATAGAGAACTGGTCAACTAGTCTGAACAAATAGTTCTCAAAAGAAGGATTACAAACTATTTATATTCATGTGAAAGATTGTTCAAATTTGCTAACAATAGTTAAAATACAAATAAAAAACTTCTGAGGTGATTTTTGGCTAATAATAAATTGGAAAATGAAAAAAGTATGGAAAGAGTCAATGTTGGAGGTGCTGTGGAAAGACAGAAATGCTACCATACAGTTGGGTGGAGCTAATTGCCCCAAACATTTTGGAAAGCAATTTGGAATTAAAATAAAACTAGTGACAAAATGGCCTTACCCTTGGACCCAGAGACACTTTGACCAAGGAGGTCAAAGGTACAAAAGGGTCTCATTTATATCAAAACAGTCCCAGCAGTATTTTCCATGAAAGCAAAGAACTGGAAACAAAATAGTTGTTCATATACCACAGGGTTTCTGTGAGGATCACATAATTACTATTCAATATGTAATCCTGCCTTATTGATGGAATCTGTCTAAGACTGTCTTCCTAGCACAGTACACTGGCTGGACCCATTTAATTAACGAACTGTTAGACTGTCAGAACTGCCCCTTTCATTCTGAATTCTAAGTTCTAAGTTCTATGGTCAAATATGGACATTGGGTTCAAATCCAATCACTTATGCTTAGCACCTATGTGACCTTACACATGTCACTTACATTTTCTCTGCCTTAGTTTTATCATTTCTAAAATAAGGGTGTTTGAACTAGATGGCCTCTGAGGGTCTTCCCATTTCTAATCCTATGATTAGGTCCTATGTAATGCTGTTGGTTAGAACAAGGAAGCTTGCATGGCCTGGTGTCAACGAATACAGCCTCACCTGAGCCCAGGAGAGATTCCCTAATTCCATCCTATTTACAAGAAAGCTTGTATTTTTTAGGATCCTGTAAAGAATTAAATCTTTCCTTTTTTGAAGTCATTTTTAATGGATTTGCATATTTACTATTGAACTATCCATTTTCCCCAGAGCATTGTTACATAGTAAATAGAGGGCTGGTTACGTACAGTCAGGAAGACCTGAATTTAAATCCTGCCTCTGAACCACACTTGCTGAGGTACCTTGGGGCAGTTCTTTCAAGCTCTGGGTGGCCTAGCCATCTCTGCAACTTTATAAACTATGTATAAGCTGCCAATCTGCATGAGCAGAAGGAATTTCCCCACTGGGAGCTGTCCATGAAGATGAAATCATAGCCTAGAAACAAAAACGAATTCAGCGCAAGCAGAGTCGTACCTGCTTAATTGTCTCCAGGGTCTCCGGGTTGATTTTGGTTATGAAGTTCGTCTCCGTGCACGCGTAGTAATCTTCGCCCACTGGGTAGATGTTAACAAGGGCGTTGTCCGTGACCTCCACTCCTCGAAAGTAAGAAAAAAACCTGCCGAAGTAAGTGCAGGATGAGTCCTGCGCTCTCCCTTGAGCGGGAGCAGCAAAGCAGGAAAAGAAGAGGCGCACGCGCTGTCCGGGTCACCTGGAGAAGATGTTTTTGCACGGATCAGGGAAGGCACACGTGCCGAATTCCGTCAGGACGATCCTCTTCTCCGTCATGGCTCTTACATAGGCGTCCGTGCGGATGAACCTAGAGAAGGGTAGGGAGGCACCTCCTGAAACGCACGGACGGACGTGGGGGGTCCCCGCACGGCCCTGAGAGGCCTCATGTCAATGAGGACCAGCACCTGAAATTAGACCCAGCACGCATAGAGCCAATGGCTTCTCCCAGACCTGGGCCACCGCCTCCTGAAGGATTGCTCCTTAGCTGTGGCCACTGACTCGCAATGGAAGGGCGGCCTTCCAAAGGAGTGAGCCCCTTGTCAGTGGAGGCCAGGAGAGCCAAGCTTTAGAGCTGGACAGGACCTTGAAGACCAGATGGGAAACTGAGACCCAAAGGGCTTGCATCCGGTCCAAGGTCACATGGGCAATGTCATAGAATACTGGATTTAGAGATGCAGTGGGCCGTGAAGATCCTCTCCTCCGATCTCCTCGTTTTACCAATCAGGACACTGAGGTGCACAGAGGTAAAGAGATTTACCCAAGGTCACCCTTGGTGGCAGGGTCATGCCCACCGTGCTAGATGGGGATGCTATGGAGAGCAATTGAGTCATGCTGGACAGAAAACTAGACTTGGAATCAGAAAGATCTGTGTCCAAATCCCACCGCGGTCATTAATTATCTATAGGTCCCTGGGCAAATCACGTAACCCCTCCTAACCTCAGTTTCCTCAGTTGTAAAATGGAGATCTTAGTCATGCCTATTTCTCAGAGAGCTGTTGTGAGGCTTGAGACAACATGTATAAAGTGTACTGCAAAATTTAAAGAGCTGTGAAAATGGCAGGTTTATTATGATTGCTTAGGTGGGCATGTCCCACAATGGTCTCAAACTTGACGAATCCCAAACAGAACTTATCTTCCTAAAAAGTTCCCCCAAAGTCCCTTTTCTGTGGAGGGTGTCACTGTTCTTCAGGTCACCCAGGCCTCATCCCCAACTGCTCTCTGTCTCACCATCCGGAGCCAATCAGTCTCTAAGTCTTGGTGGCTCTGCCTTTCATGGCTTCTCTCGTGTCTGTCCCTTCTTTCTGTTCCCATGACTGCTATCTTAGCTCAGGTCTTCACTTCCTGCACCTGCAGCACTGAATCAGCCTCCTCACTGGGCTCCCCTTCAGCCCATCCTCCCCAGGGATCTGGTGAAAGAATGTTCCTAAAGTGTAAAGCTGACCCCACCACTTCCTGCTGGAGGCCCTTCATTGCCTTCCCGTTGTCTAGCTTCTAGGATAAAACACTCATTTCTCATCTTCCCATATGAAATCCTTGAAGAGTCTGGCTCTAAACCATCCCCAGGCTTACTCTATGTGACTCTATGATTCAGCCAAATGCTTCTATTGGCTGCCCCTCCCTTGCCCCACCCTACACATACTTCTCCCACTTCCAGACCTTTGCACAGGCAGACCCCAGTTACTGGAAGGTACTTTCTCTTCCTTTGCCTTGTATAATCTGTGGCTTCCTTCATAGCCCAGATGACGAGCCATTTCCTGTGGGAAGTCCTTCCTGATCTCCTTGGTTGGTAATGGTCCCTCTCCTTAAGTTATCATGTACATGTTTACCTGCTTAGGTATTGCACTCCTCCAACAGGGCAGGGGTCTTTTCATGTGTGCCCCAGTGCAGCAGTTGTGGGGGGGACCCCGATCGCCCTCCGAACACATGAACATCTTGTTTTCCTTCACTAGAACGTAAGCTTCTTGAGGACAGGGGCTGTCTGAATTTTGTCTCATATCCCTAATGTCCAACACAACTTATGGCAGGAGCTCATCAAAGCTTATTGGAATTGAACTGGAGTCTTTAACCCTGGGTCACACCCTGGGGCCCTGGGGATGGGAAGGAAGAGGCAGCCTGGACGATCCCTCGGTGCCTCCATACTCCTGATCTCATCTGTGCTTCTCCTCCCCTCTGTGACGGGGAGCGACCCCGAATCCTGGCCCATCAGCGCCCCTTGTCCTGCCTTCCTTTCCATCCACTCCCAGGGACCCGCCCACCGTGTCAGGGACCTTCTTCCCTTCCTTTCCTTCTCTTTAAACCAAGGAATCGCTTCATTTGTTCTTTCCCTTCAGTGCGTAGGCAGTCTCCAATTCTCCCTCTCTCTCTCTCTCTCTCTCTGTCTGTCTGTCTCTGTCTCTCTCTCTGTCTCTCTGTCTCTCTCTCTGTCTCTCTGTCTCTGTCTCTCTGTCTCTGTCTCTCTGTCTCTGTCTCTGTCTGTCTTTGTCTCTCTGTCTGTCTGTCTCTGTCTCTCTCTGTCTCTGTCTGTCTGTCTCTGTCTCTGTCTGTCTTTGTCTCTCTCTGTCTCTCTCTGTCTCTGTCTGTCTCTCTGTCTCTGTCTGTCTTTGTCTTTCTCTCTCTGTCTCTCTCTCTCTGTCTCTGTCTCTGTCTCTCTCTCTCTGTCTCTGTCTGTCTGTCTGTCTGTCTCTGTCTCTGTCTCTCTCTCTCTGTGTCTCTCTCTCTTTCTCTCTCAAAACTTTTTTGGGGGCTTTTCTCGAGGATGTGAACGACCCTGTGGGAGCCTTCTTGCCTTCTGTGTCGCTTACATTCCCAGGCTCTCTGTTTGCTCTCTGTACACCTCTATGGCCTCTAAAGTTACTTCAGGTTCCAAATCTATGAAAGGAAAGGAAGGGAATAAGCATTTATATGGCACCTACTATGTGCTGTCTTTGCAGTTTTATCTCATTTGATCCTTATTATAACTGCATGAGGTAGGCACTATTATTATCCCTATTTTATCATTGAGGAAACAGAGGCAGGCAGAGTGAAGTGACTTGGCCATGGTCACACAGCTAGTAGGTGTCTGAGGCTGGATTTGAACCCAGGGCTTCCTTCCTGACTCCAGGCCCAGGCCCCTCCCCTCTGCCTGTGACCCTCCACACTCACTTACCTTCTATGATACGTGACCCGGCCTTCCTTAAAGTCAAACTTATGCAGAAGGGCTTGGCCATCAAATAGATGGTAAAACGGCTCACTTCCAACTTCAAACAGACCAGGCCCACATCGAAGGAGGCTGCCAGTGAGCCACGGTGGGATTCTGCCTATGAGGAAGGGAGAGAAGAGAAAACCTGTTGAGTCCCTGCTCAAGTCAAGGCCGGCCACGCCTCTTTTAGACTAGGCTGTGAGCTCCTCCAGGGCAGACTGTCTTTTGCCTCTTTTTGGCATCCCCAAAGCTTAGCATAGTGCCCGGCACACAGTAGGCACTTAATAAACATTTATTGATCATTGGTTGATTGACCTGCCAAAACCTTGGGGCTAGGATGGTGGCGCCTAAAGGCAGAGCCCTGAAGAAGGACTGCCCATCAGTGGCTCTAAGGGAGAGGTACACAGCGTCCTGGAAGGGATCCACAGAAGTGGGCTCGGGACCCTTTCTTGACCGTAACTGGCTCGGTGACAAGGAGGGCGCTCAAGCACGAGGCAGCTGCAGAGCGGTGGACCTGGGGTCACAGAATAACAGAAGACAGGAGCTGGAAGTGACTCCTGAGGCTGTCTGACATGAGCCTCTCGCTTAGTAGTGATGAAGAAGCGTCTATGAACATGCTCCACAAGGTGATCCCGTGAGGGAAAGAGGTATCGGAGCCACCCAGCCGGGCTTTGGATGCCTCGGGTTCTTTGCTGGGCTTTGTGCAAAGGCCAGCAGGAAAGGCCTCCTAAATGTTAGTAGCTGCAGGCACATAGCTAGCATTGCTCGTGTTCGTATTGACTTGCCCTGAATCTCTATGCACAGGAAGACAAGTGAGGGACTGGTGAAAGGGATGGATAAAATGGCAGAAGGAAAGAGGGAGAGACGGCTGAGGTAGTGAGTGGTGCCCTGCATAAGCCAATGTACTCAGCCCGACTCCACTTGTCTCTTGAGATTCTATCACTCTGTCCACTTTTAGGGGGTACTTCAAATTTGAGAGTGAGACTGGCAAGCACTGAAAATAAGACATGATCAAAAAATGGGGAGATGTTTTATGTGGCACCTCAGGGCGCGCTCCTATGGCAGTCTGGGCAAAGGGAGAGGGCAGTCTGTGCATCCCTCAGTTAGGGCGTGCATCTACCCTCCAGACAACGGGCAATGCAGGGCCGTGGGGAGATGTGGATCTGCTTATGGCCTCTGATACCTCAGACATTTCAAAGGTGAGCGTAGACCCCACCTCTGGGAAGGACAAAGAACTGGATTGTAAAATAGAATTGGATAGGACCTCAGAGGCCTGTCCAATCCAAGCCCTTCATTTGACAGATGAGGAAACTGAGGCCTAAGGAACTTCCTTTGGCTTGTCCAAGGCAGCAAATGTCAGAGGTAGGATTCAAACCCAGATCCCCTTTTTATCAGCTCTTCAAGGCTTGCAAAACCCTCTATGTGCCTTACCTTATTTCAGCCCCAAGACAATCATATCATAAGGTGCAGTGACTACCTCCATCAGGTTTTCCTTCCAGAAGAGGATGAGGGCAGTAGATAGAGTGATGACCTAATACTCAGGCAGACCTGGGTTCAAGCCCTGCCTCTCACATATAACTGGCTATGGGACCCAGGCAGCTGTTAAAGGTTTTCATCTGCAGAGCAGGTGTTGCCTTGCGTTGATAGCATTAATTTTCTCACTAATGGTTCCCTACTGAGATACAAGTCTAAAGTATGGTTCTGCCTCCTCCCAGAAGGTACTCTATCCCATTGGGCAGCTGAGGAAATTGAGACTCAGATGAAATGACTTGCCCAGAGTCATTGTGCCCAGTGCCAAGACAAACCCAGGAACTATATGAACACAGCAAGAAAACACTTTTTCACACAAATAAAGTCAGAGCTAAACAACGGGAAAAATATTAATTGCTTATGGGTAGGCCAAGCCAATATAATAAAAATGATGATTTTGCCTAAATTAACCTATTTGTTCAATGCCATACCAATCAAAATTCCAAAAAAATTATTTTATAGAGCTAGAAAAAATAATAAAATTCATCAGAAAGAACAAAAGAACAAGAGTATCAAGGGAATCAATGAAAAAATGTGAAGGAAAGTGGTCCAGCTGTATCAGATCTCAGACGTCATAAAGCGGTAATGATCAAAACAATTTGGAGCTAGAGTGTGGATCAGAGGAACAGATTAGGTACACAGTACATTACAGTAAATGACCACAGTAATCTCGCATATGACAAACCCAAGGATCCAGGCTTTGGGGGCAAAAACTCATTGTTAGACAGATACTGCGGGAAAACCGAAAACCAGTATGGAAGACACTAAGTATAGGCTAACATCTAATACCGCATACCGAGAGAAGGTCAAAATGAGTGCAGGATTTACACATAAATGGTGATGCCCTAAGCAAAGTAGGAGAGCGTGGTCCGGTCTATGGATGAGGGAAGAATTTGGGACAAAACAAGATATAAAGAACATTACGAAATGTAAAAAAGATAATTTTGACTGTATAAAATTGAAAAGGTTTTATACAAACAAAACCAATGCAACCAAAATTAGAAGGAAAGCAGAAAATTGGGGGGGGGAATTTGTAGCAAGCATCTCTGATGAAGGCCTCATTTATCAAATCTATAGATAGTTGAGTCAAATTTATAAGAATACAAGTCATTCCCCAATTAATAAATGGTCAAAGGATATGAACAGGCAGTTTTCAGACAAAGAAATCAAAGCTATCTATGGCCATATAGGAAAAATGCTCTAAATCATTATTGATTAGAGAAATGCAAATTGAAACAACTTTGAGATACCACATCACACCCATTAGATTGGTTAATATGACAAAAAAGGAAAATGACAAATGTTGGAGGTGATGTGGAAAAACTGGGACACTAATGCCCTGTTGGTAGAGGAGTGAACTGACCTAACCATTCTGGAAAGCAGTTTGGAACTATGACCAAAGGGCTATAAAACTGTGCACATTCTTTGATCTAGCAATAGCACTGCTAGGTCTGCATCCCAAAGAGATAAAAGGAAAAAAAGGGAAAAAAATGTGGCAGGGGAGGGGGAGAAAGACCTACTGTACAAAAATATTTGTAGCAACTCTTTCTGTGGTGGCGTAGAATTGGAAATTGAGCGATGCCCACCAACTGGGAAATGGCTGAACAAGTTGTGGTCTGTGATTTGATGGAAGATTACTGTGCTACAGGAAATGACAAGAATGGTGCTGCTAGGTGGTGCAGTGGATAGCGCTCCATCCTTGGAGTCAGGAGGACCTAAGTTCAAATCTAGCCTCAGACACATGACACTTACCAGCTGTGTGACCCTGGGCAAGTCACTTAACCCTGATTGCCTCACCAAAAAGAAAAAAAAATGACAAGGATGATTTCAGAAAAACCTGGAAAGACTTACATGAAGTGATGCTAAGTGAAGTGAGCAGAACCAGAAGAATATTGTACACAGTAACAATTTTGTATGATGAAGAGCTGTGAATGACAACTATTCTTGGCAACACAATGATCTAACACAGTCTCAAAGGACTCAGAATGAAACATGCTATCTGCCTCCAGAGAAAAAATTGATATTGACTTAATACAGATTGACCTCTTTTTTCCTTTCCTTCCTTCCTTCCTTCCTTCCTTCCTTCCTTCCTTCCTTCCTTCCTTCCTTCCTTCCTTCCTTCCTTCCTTCCTTCCTTCTTTCCTTCCTTCCTTCCTTCCTTCCTTCCTTCCTTCCTTCCTTCCTTCCTTCTTTCCTTTGTTAGTTTGTTTGAGTCTTCTTGCACAAAATGACTACTATGGAAATGTTTTACATGACTACACATGTGTAACCTATATCAGACTGCTTACCATCTCAGGAAGTGGGTAAGGGAGGGAGGGACAGAATTTGGAATTCAAAACTTAAAAACCCAGATGTTAAAGTTGTTTTGATGTGTAATTAGGGAGAAAATTCAAAATTATTAAAAAAAACTAAAAAAAAAGATGTTAAAAAAAGAAATGACTTGCCCAGGGTCACACGCAGAGTTAGTAAGCCAGGGGCTAACATGGTATTTGAACTCAGGTCTCTGGCTCTCTCAATGGCAGCTGTTGTGGCTGGTACCCTTTGGGTGGGGGTAAAATTCATGTAATTCTCACAAATTTGAATCTGAAAACAAGGATTATGTCCTTTGGTTCCAGTTAAATGCGGGGTGGGGAAGAGGTGAGGTCCTTGTTTCTTATGAAGACAGTGCTTCCCCGGGGCTCTGTTAGGGCCACGCAGGTAAAGGAGAGCCTCAACTTCTCTGTGGACTGGGCCTGCTGGGACCTTTGCAGAGTGCCCTGCTATTTGCCTGGGGTTTCCATAGACACAGATTCAGCTGGTCTCCACCACAGCCCTGAAAGGGGGCTGGGCAAGGATCCCAGGATTCTCCAGACAGGTCTCCCAGATGGAGAGATGGAAGGAACCCGCCTGCCCACCCCAGCCCTTCTCTTTCACATGAGGCTGCAGAGGTCCAGGGAGGTTATGGGTTTGTCCAAGGCCACAGAGAAGCCAGGATTTGAACTCTAACTACAAATACAACCCATTTTCCAGACTCATTTGTGAAATGGCATTTTTATTGCCATTTTATATTTCACATATAAAGATAATCAAGTCCATGGGAGGTGAATGACTTGGCCAGTGTCACAAAGATACAAAGTGGGAGCCGAGGCAGTAACAACAATTACAACAGCAGCTAACATTTACGCAGCGTTTTACATCTGTTACCTCATTTGATTTTCTCACCAGTGCTGCAGCAGAGGTGCTGTGCTGATCTGCCTCACTTTGCCCATCAGGAGGCTGAGGCTGAAGAGGTTAAGTGCCTGGGACCACTCAGCTGCTAAGTGTATGAGGCTGGATTGGAACTAGAGTAGTTCTTTGGGGACCTCCTGATGGCTGCCGCAGCTTCTCCCACAGCCCTACAAGGCCCCATCTCCCACTACATCCAGGGCCCACCAACTGACATCTGAAATTCCATCTAACGTCTCGTGTGTTAATTCCATACTCTTCAGATGGACATTGGGCTTAATGATGATAAAAATCTATAGTTATCCATTTCACTATCTTGCATGATTTTGGGCACAGCGCCTTACCTCCCCTGGCCTCAGTTTACTCTTTTGTAAAAAGATAGGGTTGTTTTGGATGACCTTTAAGTTCCCTCCAGAACTGTGATGCGCTAGGTCCCAGAGACTCTTTGTTAATCCCATTATGATGTCCCCTTGAGATCACTTCAAGGACAACTGTTCTCTTCTTCATTTTCTAGACTGAGAAAGAGTAGCCAGGTCAGATACAATGTGCCCCTCCTAACATGCCCAGGTTCCTTTATTCCTTCCTGCATGCCTTGGCATCTGGGAGCCATGCCAGTCAGTGGGGACAGTGGGGGGGCACACACCTCGGACATGAGCTGGGAGCGGTGAAGACAGCTCTTCCACGGTTTCAAAAAGCTTCCTGTATCCTCCAGCTGGATGCTCCACTCTGAAATGGGTCAAGAGTCAGAGAAAAGCCAATGCTGCTTCCCAAAGAAAACCCAGACAAAAAAGCCAGACCTGGGCAGGGGAGGGGTTGGGGAGCCCACCCTCTCCCATATGCCAAGGTTTTATCATCCCCACGAGGTCAGGCTGGGAAACCTCCTGCTCTGGGAAGGAGAATGGTCAGCGTTCAGGTGAGTGAGTCACTGATCTATTAATCGCTTGGAAAAACAGAAATGCTCCTTTGGTGCCAACAGAAATGGTCTTAGAAATTCTTCTATGTGACCGTGGCCATAATAACTCACAACTTGACTCACATCGCTTCCTGAGGACTCAGTTTCCTCCTCTGTTGAACGAGGAGATTGGACTGCATGACCTGCAAGTACAGTTCCCTTCTGGGCAGTCAGTCTGGGGACGCCTAGGGACCCTTTCTCACAACCATGTTTTTAAAGAATTAAAGGAAGTGTTCAGTGTCAGCTAGAGGCCAGTGAAAACAAAGCTCTTTTTTTCCCATCCAAGTTCAGAGAGATCTACCCATGGATCCCTGGGAGTTGGACCTCAGCTTAAGAACCCTTGCTCTGGCTGGATGCACCTCTTAAATGTCACTGAATGGAAAGAAGACTGGGTTGAGTCAGAGGACCTAGACGCAAATACGTCCTCTCCCCCTTACACCTGTGTGACCTTGGGCCAGTCACTTCCCCACTTTAGAGTACAGTTTCCCCGTCTGTAAAATGGCAAGGTTGGCCTAGATCAGTGGTGTCAGATTCAAATAGAAACTGACCCTGCAGCTGTATCTTCACTTGGAAAACCATAAATTATCTATGTTGTATTTTTGTAAATTTATTTTATTTTATTTTCCAGTTACCTTTAAAACTGGTTCTGCCAACTCAGGAGGTTATGGGCCTGAAACCCCTAGGTGTGGACAACCTCCCAGGCCCTTTTCAACTCAAGATGATGACGTTAGGATCCAAGAGGTCAAGTGGCTGGTGCCAAGGTCACCGAGCTAGTAAAGGCACAAGTGGGTCTTGAAATCACGTCTCTTGCCTCCAGGTTCACTGCTCTTTCCACTATCACATTCCCCCCAGGTCCCTGGCCTGCCTCCCTGAGGCTCTCCCAGAAGCATGAAGGCAGCAGGAGGAATGGCTACTTTTACACTGCCTCCTCTCCTCCGCTTCATAACTTGGGCCGTTAAGCGTGGCCTGTGAGCACCAAGTCAATGCCCTCTCTAAATCTTGAGTTTCCTATCTGTGACGGGGCAATACCACCGTATAATCATAACAATGAAAAGCTAACATGTATAGACTGTTTCAAAGTTTGCACAGAGCTTGAAGAATATTGCCTCATTTGGTTCTCACTACCACCCTGGGAGGAAATGCTATTATTACACCCATTTTACAGGTGAGGAAAATGAGGCAGACGGAAGTCATGTAACTTGCCTAGGGTTACAAAGCCAATAAGTAAGTGAGGCAAGTTTTGAATTCAGGTCTTCCTGACTTTAGGCCAGCATTCTGTCCACTTTGCCATCTAGCTCTGTGTAGGTTATGTACATGTATGTTTATTTATACTTATACACACATGGGTATGTATGTATATGTGTGTACACATGTGTATATCTACATATACACATGTGTGCATGTGTGTGTGTGTGTGTGTGTGTGTGTGTGTGTGTGTGTGTAGTTGTTTAGTCTTTTTGCAGTCATGTCCAACTCTTTGTGACCCTATTTTTCTTGGCAGAGATACTGGAATGGTTTGCCATTTCCCTCTCTCGATCATTTTACAGATGAGGAAACTGAGGCACACAGGGTTAAGTGACTTCCCCAGGGTCACACAGCTAAGTGCCTGAGGCCAGATTTGGACTTAGGAAGATGAGTCTTCCTGACTCCAGGCCCAGTGCTTTATGCACTATGGCACCACCTAGTAGCCTTTCTATATCTATATATTTATATCTGTTTGTACCATCTACTTCACCAGGTTGTTGTGAGAATCAATTTAAATAATGTCCGTGCATCTCAAAGCCTTATAAGGCTGTCATCTTTTATTGTAAGGGTCATAGACCTAGAGCTGGAAGGAGCCTCAGGACAGGCCCAGAGACTAAGAGACCTGGCCAGGGTCACACAGCACCAGAGGTCACGTTTGAACCCAGGTTCTCTGACTCGAGAACCAATGATTTTACCCTGTTACCAGGCTCATCCTCGCCATCTATATTATGGAAGACGTGGTGGCAGCAGCAGAAGCTGCAGAAGCTGCTGCAGTCAAGGCCCCTTCTTGATTCAGGAATTTATTTTTAATGGAAAAGCCCAGCAGACTGATCCTCTCCTCCCTTGCCCCCGTCAGCCTCCTCACCGGGCCCGGCTGCATTCCCTGACTGGCAGGGAAGGCGCTTCCTTGTCTTTTGCTTGTCCTAGGATGCACATAAGCCCTTGCACCTTCACAACAGAATCCCTGAAAAGACCCCTGAACAAGAGAGCACTGCTGCCCTCCCTCAGAATGCTGCTGCCCAACTTCCAGCCCCATCTCCCACTCCAGAGGTGAGAATGCAGCCTCCGGCAGTTACTTACCGACTAGACATGTTCTCCAGATGGGTGGACCAAGTAGGGCGGCGGCAGGAGCTCAGTGAAGATGCCAGGGTTCAGGCTGCAGTATTTATGTAGCTGTTAAGTCCTTCTGAAAAGAGGGAGAGCTTTGGAGAAAACCCCTCAGCCAGTCATGGGAGGAGGGTGAACAGAGGCTGCTTTCACCCCTCAAGTCCTCCTAATGCTCTCGAGTTCTTAAGTTCTGCTGTTCCCATGGCAGGGATCCTTGACCATATTCCAGAGACCTCAATCCTTCCCAGGGAGGGGTGGATGACAAAGAAAGGAGGGTGGGAGTGGGGCAGGCCGAGGCGCCCCATTGCAGGGACAGTGATTTCACTGGCACCAGCTGCCACCTCCGCCTCCTGGGCTCTGCCCATGGCGTGGTCAGGGTTCAGGGCCTGGCACCAGGTTCTAGGCCCTGCCTGCCGCAGAGCAGGGCCACTGACCAGCTGTATCCTGGATCGGGTCTGTCCCCGTCCCCTCCTTCTGCACAGAATCCAGCTTCACCTTCGCCAACATCCAGAATCACTCTAATCTCTATAGGAAAACTACATCGCATGTTTAAATAGTATTTAAAGGCAGCTATCATGTCCTTTCCAAGTCTGTTCTTCTGCCTAAGCATTCTGAAGGTAGATAGCATAACTCTTTCCAGGTTTCTCTGAAACTACCCCTTTCATCATTTCTTAAAGCATAATAGTATTCTGTAAGAATCATATAGCACAACTTGTTCAGCCATTCCTCAATTAATGAGTATCCCTTCAGTTTCCAATTCTTTGCCATTCAAAGAAAAAAAAAAAGAGCTGCTACATTTTGGTGCATGTAGGTCCTTTTCCTTTTTCTTTGATTTCCTTGGGGTGTAGGTCTAATAGCAGAATTGTAGGGCTTATGCACATTTCTGCAGCCCTTTGTTCCAAATGGTTGGACAAGTGCACAGCTCCGCCAGCAATACATTACTGTACATACTTTCCTACATCCCCTCCAGCATTTGTCATTTTCCTTTTCTGTCATCTTAGCCAATCTGATAGGTGTGAGTCAGTGCCTGAGACTAGTTTTAATACACATTTCATTATTAGTGATTTTTTGGATAGCATTTCATATGACTACTGAAAGCTTTTTAAAAATTTTGCTGTTCACATCATTTGATCATTCACCAGTCAGGGAATGGCTCTTATTTGGCTTAGTTTCTTAAGTATTTGAGAAGTGAGACCTTTATAAAAAAAAAAGTTGACAATTTTTTTCTCAGGTTCCTGGTTTTCTCTCACTTTTAGCTGCATTGATTTTGTTTGTGCAAAAATTTTATTTCTTATAATCAAAATGATCCATTTCACTTCTCAGGATCCTTTCTCTTATTTGGCCATATTTTTTCCCTCATCCAAAGATCTGACAGGTAAACTACTCCTTGCTCTCCTGATTTGCATGTCTTATTTGCTTATTTAGACCCTTTATGTCTAAATCATACACCCATTTTGATCTTATCTTGGTATATGGTAAGAGATATTGGTCTATACTTAGTTTCTGTAAACTGCTTTCCAATTTTCTCAGCAATTTTTGTTACACAGTGAGTTCTTACCCCTCAAACTAGGGTCTTTGGTTTTATTAAACACTAGAGTCTTCTGGTTATTTATGGCTGTGTATTGCATACCTAATCTCTTGCACTGATGCACTGCTATCTTAGCCAGTACCAGATTGTTTGATGACTATTGCTTTGTAGTACAGCTTGAGGTCTGGTATAGCTAGACCACTTTCTGTTTTCTTGGTTTTTTTTTCATTGATTTTCTTGATAGCCTCAACCTTTCTGTTCTTCCAGATGGATTTTATTTTTTCTAGTTCTCTAATTTTTTTTTTAGTAGTTTGGCATGGCACCAAATAAGTAAATTAATTTACATTGTATTATTGTTTTTATCACATTTGGTTGGCCTACTCTTGAGTGGTTAATATTTCTCTAATTGTTCAGATTTTTGTGTGAAATGTGTTGTATAATTATGTTCATACAGTCCTTGGATTTGTCTTGACAGGTAGATACCCAAGTATTTTGTATTGTCTGAAGTTATCTTAAATGGAATTTCTCTTTCTACCTCTTCCTTCTGGATTTTGTCAGTAGTACATGGAAATACTGATGATTTATGTGGGGTTATTTTATATCCTGAAATTTTGTTAAAGTTGTTTCAACTAGCTTTTTTTTTCAGTTGATTATCTGGGGTTCTCTGAGTTTACCATTATATAATCTGCAAACAGTGATTGTTTTGTTTCATCATTGAAGGGTTATACTCAGTTTTGCTAAGTTGTAATCCTAGCTCCTTTGTGTTCTGGAATATCATATTCCAAGCCCTCTGATCTTTTAACATGGAAACTGCTAAATCTTGGGTCATCCTGACTATCATTCCATGATATTTGAATTGTTTCTTTCTGGCTGTTTGAAGTATTTTCTCTTTGACTTGGGTGCTCTGGAATTTGGTTGTAACATTTCTGGGAGTTTGGGATCTCTTTCAGGAGGTGATTGATGGATTCTTTTAATTTTTATTGTACCCTCTGGTTCTAAGATATCAGGACAGTTTTCATTTATAATTTTTTGAAATCAATGATTATGATGCCTAGACTCGATTTTTTTTTTCATGACTTTCAGGTAGTGCAACAATTCTGGGAATTTTTTCTTAGGTAGCTCATTGATGGCTTGTTCAATTTTTCTAAGATAAAAATTAAGTATTATTCTATTTCCTCTTCTGTTAATCTAGGCAATTTAAATTTTTGTGAATAGTCACCCATTTCACTCAGTGTTAGTTTTACTGGTATATATTGGGGCAAAATAGTTCCTAAACAGCTGATCACTTTGGAACTGTTCTCTCTTTACACGTATTGTGTCATTATGCCTGTGACATTATTAAAAACCAAATAGGTTACTTAAATCTTGGCCAATTCTGCTAATTTGAATGGAGATAGGAGGAAATTCAAAAGTAAGCAGAATTCAATTATTGAGGACTTGTAAAAATGCAAGTTAGAACCACCAGAGCAAATTGGCTCTGTGTTTTGAAAGCCTCACACTTAACAGTTTAGTAAAAGGAAAAAAAAGAAGAATCCTGAAGACCCAATTCCCCTGAGACACAAGCCGTGTTAAAAAAGGGACCTGGAAGTGGCTAAACAAGCTTGCAATGGGTGACCATTTTGTGCTCTAATTTTGAAAGGAAAGCCATTTCAGAGATGATAGGAAGGAGAGCCAAAGGGAAGAGCTTGCAATGCTCAACCACGGGTTACTTTTAGGGGCTAATCCTCAATACAAGGGGTTGATTTGTCAAACCGAGGTTCTTAGTCTCTGCAAGTCCCCGCACATCTGAGGCACCTCTGACCTTATCTGCTTGCTTTTGGAGCTAGCCTGCTGCATTGTCAGTCAAGGCCAGAACTCCACGGGACTCTTCCTATCGATGAGCAGGGATCCGTAGGAGAAGAGTGGGCTGGTTTAGGCATTTCAGGAACTTCTGGAGAGACTTTATATAGGCCTCCATACGGAATGCTCTGTGCATTGCAAGAATGCATTGCAGGAAGGTGGGGGGTTGCCTTGAGTGTTGAGGGACACGTGGAGGAGTTTTCGGCCAGGACGATTTGGTTTCTTACCCAAAGGTGAAGGTCTGATTTCCAGTCAACCTTCTGTCCTTATCCCTGTTGGAAGAACTTCACATGATTCACAGCTCATCTGGGGCTAGAATTTTCCTCTAATTAGGAAAGCTTATTTTTTCTTTTCCTTTTATTTTTCTGCTTTTGTCAGTTTAATTTTCCCTGTTTTAATTGGGACAAGCTATTACAAATGCTAAGAAGGCAGTAACCCATGACAACTTCGCACCATGTTTATCTAACTTGTACAACTTGGTTTTTCCATGAAGGGCAACGTGGCGTGATAGATGAGACAGCTGCCTTGGAACCAGGTAGACCTGGATTCAAGTCCTGTCTCGTAGACATACGAGATGTGTGATCTTGAGAAGGGGTCATGCTTAGCCTTCTCTGTGGGGGAGCTGCAGCTAAGAGGATATTATTTGAGCTTCCCCAGAGGCCTTTCTAGAACTGGGGGTACAGACATAGCGTCAACTATACCTCAAGCAATTTGCTGAGGCCAACAAATATTTAACGGAGGGTATCCTCTGAGTCGATCAGAGCAGTTCTTCTCGTCTGCTGAATTGTAGGATCCCCACAGAGCCCAGGTGGAGCTGAATCTGCCCCCGACCATTTACGTGGTCTTTGTGATCTGGTGACACGTGCATTCTGGTCTCCTGCTAAAGGACACGTGTCATCAGTTTTCTAGTTATCCCTTGGTCATCCTGATGGGGGGAGGGGTGGGGGGAGGGAGGCTGCGAGAAAGAGGTTTGTTCAGTGAACGAGGAAGAGTGGCCCACTCTGCAAAGTTTAAGAGAAATGAATGTCCTCACCCCCACCCCTTCTCCTCTCTGTATAACATGTAGGACTCCAAGTTCTCATTCAGACCTCCAGAAAGAGGGCAAGGGCTCTCTCCTTCTCAGTGGCAACGGTCACTGGGAGCACATGGCAGCAGGAATATGTGCTGCTAGGACCTCAGGATCCTAGCTGTCTCTTCTGTTTGGTCTCCTTTTCTCCCCCGCCTGAGCAGAGTCACTGAATAGCAATTCTGAGATGTCATTCTCCAGCCTTGGTAGGAAAAACCTCATGAATTCAAGTGGTCAGGAGCTCCTGGGACCAGGGGCTGATTATATAGCAGCAGGTGATCTCTGTAACATCTTGGAGATGATGAGTCATGTATGTCTGGATGGCTAGAAGATACGGACCTTGAGAGAACCACTCAGATAGTATAGATCTGAGGTCAAATGGTTCAGCAGTTCCATAAAATGTTTCATGCATCAATATTGCCCATGTCAACCTCCTAGAAGAATAAAACAGGAATTGCTTCTTACTGTTTTATGGTTTAAGTATTTGTCCATTTGCCTGTCTCTGTTTTAAACATTTGTTTTCAAGTGGAGGAAATAAATAGCTGTCCCATATTTGATCTACTCTCTTATACAAAGCATAGAAGTAAAGAGTACAGAAATCCATATTGAGCACATTTCTAAGAAGGACCACCCTGTTGATCCTTTTCAGGGGAAACCTTAGACATGAACTATATAAATGCTTTATTTAAAAGATTTCCCTGGGGTCTTTGGGGTGTAGGCTAGGCATAATGAATGAACGATAAAGCATTTGTTAAGTGTTTCCTATGTCCCAGTCTCTGTGTTAAGCCCTTATTCTTTTCCCTACATTGATACTGAGGTAGAATACTTATTTTCAATGTGCAGATTATAAGAATTCTGCTCTTAAAAATCTCAGGAGCCTTGAAAGGACCTCAGACACTACCAAGTGCAGTCTGTACCTAATCGAGAGCTCCCTCCACATGCCACTTATAAATGATTATCCAGGTTCGGTCTGATGACCTTCAGTGAAGGGGGGCTCACTGCCTCCCAAAGGTAGCTTTAAGATAAATGCAGGTTCCCCACCCCCACAAGTCTAATCACCAATGTTTTTGCTGACATCAAGTCTAAACCAATCAATAAACATTTGTTAAGTGCCAACTATGTGCCCAGCCCTGTGCTGGGGGCTGGATCAGCCTCTCTTCAGCTCATTCCCATGGCTCTTGGACTACTGCTACCGACAAGACCTAACATTTAT